TCTCGAGAGGTATAGCTCTCGCACCGGCTTGCCAGAATGCGAGTTACGCATTGACACCAAACTCACAGCCAAGATTCGGCACGTCGCCCGCAAGCATAGGTCCACGCCGTTCCACTTTCACCTGGCAGCCTTCAAGGTTTTGCTCTTCCGCTGGCTGGGTACGGAAGACGTTTGCATCGGATTTGCAGACGGCTGTCGTCGAGACGAAAGCATGTGGACTGGAATCGGCGCATTCTTGAACATGCTGCCTCTTCGCATGAAGGCACAGGCGTCGCAGTCCTTTGCGGATGCCATCGTCGAGTCACGAGAAAAGAGCCACGGTGCTCTCTCCAACGCGATCCCTCTTGAAGCCATCCTGAACGAGCTCAAGGTGTCCAGACAAGCCACGCACTCACCACTGGCTCAGGCATTTATGAATTACGCCGAGACGAGCGTTGAGAGCGGGCGTGAGTTTCTGAACTGCGAAAGCGAGATGATGGCTGAGGACCAGGCTGAGCTCCCCTACGATATTGCTTTAACAATCGTTACCAACACAACCCCAGATGGTGACGCAGACACAAAGATCGTCATTAACGTTCAAAACTCTCTCTATAATGCCGACGCAGCCCGAATTATTGCAAGTGGATACGAAGACATCTTGCGGGAGTTTGCTGATCGGCCAGACGATCAAGTGAATAGCGAATGGAAATTCAGGCAGTCCTCTTTGTCAAAGGCGATTGCGGTTGGTCATGGTGAGTAGTAGCAATCAGGTACCTCTTTATCGACGAAACTGACTCGATACAAGGCCCTGGGTTCAGAAACATCTGGATGGACACCATCGTACACAAACTGGATGCGCTGCTCCCGTCCATCGGTGACCGGGTCGCCGTAACCGACGGCGTCAACAAGCCTGTGACTTACGAGGCGCTTTCTAAGCAGATTAACAGCATCTCATTGTCACTGCTGCAGGAGGGCGTCACTGCTGGCTCTAAAGTTGCCATTTACCAGAATCCGTCCATTTTCTGGGTTGCCTCCGTTGTGGCGGTCCTCAAGATTGGCGCAGTCTACGTTCCCCTTGACGCTGGGACTCCGCCCGCCCGCTTAGCTCTCATGGTTCAAGATTGCAAGCCTGCGGCTGTCTTGATTAATGAGTACACACTCGAGACGGTGAGGGAGCTTGCACCTGGAGTACCCGTGATCGACGTATCCAACGCCGTTGACACGCATGCCAAAACTGTTCCCACGACTGCGCTCGCTGATGCACCGGCCATGATTCTCTACACTAGTGGCTCCACGGGGACGCCTAAGGGTGTAGTTCTCACTCACGAGAACTTGCGGCACGAGTTTGAGCACTGCGAAGCCGTGTATGGGCTCAACGGGCAGGACGTTGTGCTGCAGCAGAGCGCCTGGAGCTTCGACCTCTCCATCACGCAGTTGTTCCTGGCACTCACAGTCGGCGCGCGGGTGCACGTCGCTTCCCATACTCTGAGAGCCGATGGGCGAGCCATGGCCGAGCTCATCCGTGATGAGGACGTGACTACCACTTATGCCACCCCGACAGAGTACAAGACCTGGCTTCGTGATGCGCATGTGGACATCCTTCAACGATCGCCTTGGAGACTAGCCTTAGTGGCAGGAGAGGCCGTCACAGTACCGTTACTTGAGAGATTCAGGAATCTGGACAGGGCAGACAGTCTTCGTCTCTTCAATGTGTACGGTCCGACAGAGACGACGTGCGGGTCGACCAAGATGCAGCTTGATTATACCAATCCTGACAAATACCTTGACGCCGTGCCCGTGGGCCGGGCATCTCCGAACGAGTGCTTCTATATTCTCGACAGCAAGCAGAGTCTGCAGCCTCTTGGCTTGACCGGTGAAGTTGCCATTGGCGGCGTTGGAGTCGCAAAAGGCTATCTGAACGACGCGGAACAGACGAAGGCGTCTTTTATTCAAGATCAATTTGCAAACTCCGAGTACACCAGGCGTGGCTGGACTACCATGTACCGCACAGGTGATGCCGGCTACTTGAAAGAGGACGGGACGCTGGTCCTCAAAGGCCGCATTGGCGGTGACACTGAGGTCAAGCTAAACGGAATTCGAATTGATCTCAGAGACGTGGAACAGACTGTACTAAAAGCGTCTCAAGGTCAGCTTGCCGATGTGGCCGCGTGCGTGCGCACCAGTTCGTCGACATCGAAGGACAACGAAGAACAAGCAGCATTCAAATACATGGTCGCCTATTGCGTCTTCTCTACTGAACGAGTGCTAGGCGAAAGCTACGACACAGAATCGATCCTTCAAAAGCTTCTAGAGAGCCTGCCTCTGTCGCGTGCAATGCGACCATCCATTCTTGTTCCCGTTGATGATCTTCCTAAAACGACAGCAGGAAAGCTAGATAGGCGCGCTCTTGAAGATTTGAAAATCGCCCAAGGACCGCTGGATAGCGTTACGGGTGCGACCACGAGTACCTTGACCTCTATGCTCTCGGACGCCGAGGCCAGGCTTCTCGGGCTATGGCAATGCGTTCTCCCGGACGAAGTGGTGGGGTTCGTCGACATCCGCGCGTCGTCTGACTTCTTCAGCGTTGGTGGCACCTCCATGCTGTTGGTACAGCTGCAGCAGAAAATTATCGAAAGATACCATGTCTCCCTTACCCTGCTGGATCTGTTCAAAATGAGCACCCTGAATGGCATGGCTCAGGTCCTCCAGCGCGCCTTGGGACTGGAGAGCGATGCACCGGACGCGACATATGGAGATCAGTCTAAGTCTATTGATTGGGCGAGAGAGACAGCGATTGAACCAGAACTTCCAGTGGAAGACAAAACAATTCCCTCTCCTAGGAACCCCCCTCGGGTAGTTGTTTTGACTGGTGCAACCGGGTTTCTTGGTCAGCATCTGCTTCGCGAGCTTCTTGAGCAGGCTGGTGTTGAAAAGGTCATATGCATCGCAAACAGGAATTTGACTGATGATAGGAGGAGAGAGCTTCTCCTGTCCCCACGAGTCGAGTGCTTGGATGGTGACCTCTGTGATTCCAATCTTGGTTTGACCCAGGTTGACATGGATCGCATCTTTGGCATTGAAGCTGACGCTGTTATCCACAACGGCGCAGACGTATCTCATCTCAAGACATACGCTTCTCTGAGAGATCCCAACGTGAACTCGACCAAGGAGCTGGCCCGCCTATGCCTACAAAGACGGATACCTCTACACTACGTCTCCACGACGGGAGTCACCATGTACACGGCGTCAAGTACATTCCCAGAGGTGTCCGTTCGGGGCTCACCGCCACCGCCTAACGGAACATACGGATACGTCTCCTCTAAATGGGCCAGCGAAATTTACCTCGAGAACGTGAACTCAATGTGCAGGCTCCCGGTCTACATCCATCGACCATCTAGCGTGCTCCGTCCCACTTCGGGGGAACACACGCCAGCCGCAGACGTTCTGCAGAATATGCTCACCTTCTCGAGACGAATTGGTGCCGTGCCGATAGCGCCGTCTCTCAAGGGATTCGTGGATCTTGTACGCCCCGAGACTGTCACGGGCAGACTCTTACGAGCGGTCATGGCTCCATCCAGTGACGAGGGCGTCGTTTACATTCATGAGTCAGGCGATATTGAGCTGGAGGTTTCTCACATCTCGAGCTATCTGGCTAAAGAGACGGGAAAGCCTATCCAGCAACTGGACTTGGATGACTGGGTCAGGAGAGCGGAAGCAATGGGGCTGTCGAGTGCGATGTCGGCTGTATTCCTGGGGCTTGGAGAGGAGGATACTCTGAACTTCCCGAGATTGCTAAGAAGTCCTTGAGGTTGATGCTCAAGAGATTGTATTCCCAGCTTTCTATTGTGTATGTATATACTTGGGTACATATTATTGCCAGTCTGGTTTTATTGCCATGCTGCCTGTAGTGAACGCCTGTTCTTACATAGGATGACCAAATTTTGTCCAAAATCCAAATCGCTGGCGTACTACGTTACTTTCCCTTCAGGTCACGACCTAAAAATTATGTAAACAACTTCTAAAAATTTACTGTATTATAGAAAATCACCGAAGAAGCCTCGTTTATATATAGATTTTATACCCGGTTTCGTGCACTTGAATGTACCCTCTGGTGACTAACTGTACACTGGGGGCTGTGGCTATCTCATAACTAGATCTGGCACGTTCTACGGTTTTTCTACTGTGTTGCATTCTACTCTTCTTTTTGTCCAATTTCCTTCATACAGTCGTATAGGCTTTATGTACGTACTGTAGTGGGGAAACTGCTTACGCACTATGTTAGCAGCTGAGGGATGTGTTGGCCTGGAAAGTTAGATGTCAAGGTGCTGGAACGGGAAATATATCTGAGGTCGTAGCTAGCCTGATTTTTAGGAGGATCAACTACCCAACAGACTAACAATTCACTCATTCGTTCTGTATGCCATTCAATATTTGACTACCTTGCCCACTCCTCTCTGGCCTACTGTATGGCAGGGGAGGTTGGTAGAGCGTTCGGTGTTCTCTGCACTTGTCTGCTCTGCCAGACTGCCATCGTGCCTACCCTTTTTCAGTACCTAAATAAGACCTTAGACTATTTATATAGTGTTTGGGATTAGTCGAATATAGGGAAAACCAAGTAAGTCATTGTAAGCAGAAAAAGAAAAACCAGAAAAGGCAGGATAATATTTTTTTTGGGATTTTCGATGTCTAGAATCCATGTAATCAATATTCTGCCAGCAATCAAAACCAATCAAGAGTTTTATCGTCAACGTCCCCGGGGGCCTAAAAGCTGCCGTAATAGTGGGGACTCGGAAGGAAGCTGGTATGTCGGTCGGAGGATTTAGATCGGCACGGAGACGGGGGCCTGCAACGCTCATCGCGATCTTCGGAGGGATAGGGAAGCTGAAGCTCAAAGCCACGGGCTGCGCGAGGAAGAATGAACTAGATCGATACGAGTGTGGGCGTCGGGATTGATTGAGCTGCTCCATAACACTGACGCGACGCAAACAGCGGCATAGCAAGCAAACATAACCTCAACCACAATGGGCTCTCTTCCGCAATACTCCATGGACTGTCTTGTCCAGTCAACCTCGGGACAAGGACAGACGGCAGTTCGTTCGCGCCCAGAAGTCAAGGCGCCTCACGATGTCTTGGTCCGCGTCTCTGCCGTGGCCCTGAACCCGACTGACTTCAAGTCACCGGCGTCCAACCCCAGCCCGGGGGCTATAATGGGTTGTGACTTCATAGGATCCGTCGTCTCAGCCGGCGAGGTGGCGGACAAGGATTTCCCCTCCGCCACGCGAGTTTGCGGGTTCGTTCACGGCTCCAACCCTGGAAACCCCGAGAAGGGATCTTTTGCCGAGTACCTTGTGACCGACTCGCGCCTGTTGATACGAGTTCCCGATAGCTGGACCGATTTGGAGGGAGCAGCACTCGGAGGCGTTGGTTGGGGTACCGTTGCTCTGGCCATGGAGGTCTCGCTACAGCTCCCTGGGCGTCCGTCTAAGCCAGTCGCTCCACGGGACGACGGCTCTAGGACGCCCGTATTGGTTTACGGTGGTGGCACGGCCACCGGCACTATGGCTTGCCAGATACTGTCAATGTACGTATATCCCTCTGCCAATTTCATTTCTATCCTTCGAAGGCAATGGCTCTTGCTAATCCACCTGCAGTTCCGGTTACCAGCCCATTGCCACAGCGTCCAGCATCAGCTCGACTCTGGCGCAGGAGTATGGCGCCGCCGCAGTCGTACCGTACTCGTCGCCCACCTGTGGCGAAACTATTCGCGACCACCACGCTGGTGGGAACTTGCGAAACGCCCTGGACTGCATCAGCTCTCCCGAGTCTGTGAGATGCTGCTTCACTGCCCTGGGTCGCATTGGCGCGCGCTACGCCGGCCTTGACTTCGTCCCAGCCGAGTGGAGGACGCGTCAAGCCGTCAAGGTCCACATGCCCCTGACTTATGCCCTCCACGGCCAAGAGATCTTGTTCAAGGGCCCGTATCATCGGGATGCGGATCCCGCCATGTTGGAGCTGGGCAGCCGGTGGCGAGACGAGGTGCAGGGCCTTGTAGATGCTGGACGCCTTCGGCCGCACCCCGCTCGGGAGATCCAAGGGAAGTGGAAGGGGATCATTAACGGTCTGGAGATGCTGAAGGCTGGAGAGGTTCGAGGACAGAAGCTTGTGGTAGCTCTGTAAGGGAAAGTCTTGATTCAAGCTTTGTAGCCCTAGCAATTTCATGTGGTTTTTTTTTGAATTTAGAGTAAAAAGTGGAAAGGTAGGGCAGCCGCGTATCAATCTAGCCTGAATATACTAAAGCCAGATTATAAACTGTCTGAGATGTGACGCATGTCGAGATTGGGTTGGGAGTCGAGCGTTGTATGACATATATCTTCTTGTGGACAGGCGTTAATTGATATATGGCACCGCCCTTTTTATTCCATGGACATGATGGGCGTTACTAGATGTCTCCTCTTTATCTCCATCTAAAATAACCCGACCTAGAAACATGGAACGCGCCAAGGAGACTGCTCCTCGCTAGAGAATGTGATGGTTTTGGGTCGTACATGATGTCACCAACGTCGATTAATCAGGTGTAGCGGATGGTCGGCTCGTCCTGTCCGTGCATCGTAATTTCTAGGCTGCAACATCGCCTACAATACTGTGTAACTGCTCGGCTCTTGAGACCAAGTTTGACCGCATCTCCTGCATCCAGAATCCTCAGCATCTCTCATCAACAGCATCATCTCTCACGTGCCCCGCGTCGCCGCAGACCATTACCAAGAGCCAGGCCTAGGGCATCACCGACGCCCTCAATGATGCTCAGGATTTCTCTTCCATTGCCAACTGCAAGAACGCTGCTTGAATCATGGAGATGGCTAGCAGGGTCAGGATGAACAGAACTTGAACTTAATTATGTTGGGCTAGTGCATAACAAACTACGGTTAAACAGGTCAAATACACTTCGAACATTTTTAACTGCTATAACCTTCAATTTTACCAAATTGTAGCTAACGAAGTCTCCTGTTCTGAACAACGTTTATGTCAAAGTCGCTGTCGTCGTTGGCGCTCCACAGGCTCTCCAATACGTGCACAAAGTCATTGAGTCCTGCCGGCCATCGCGTTGTTGCCGCAGCTTTGATCTGTTCGTGCATTGGCATGCTGTCCATTTTTGCCTCCGCGTTGAAGTAAGAAGGAGTGCAACCGCCCATGGGCGCCAGAGAAGCAGCGCCAGAAAGGACACGGTTGGCCCAAGCAGCTTCGGCCTCGGAAGTGGGCTCCACGACTACTGCGTGCTCAATCGCTGGATCATCCTCGCTTCTCATCTTCTCTAGCCTCTTTAGGCTCGAGGATACTATAAAGGCCGCGTGCTTGGAGAAGGCGTCCAAGGTGGGCGTGAAGACAGAAGCGATGCCAGCCTGGTCGCTGCTGGTGAAGAACATGTTGGGGAAGCCCCTGGCGCACATCCCATGCAACGTCAGAGATATCTGGCCGTCCTCAGCCCTTGGGTCCGCCCATTTTGCATCCATGGACTTGCCTCCACGACCAAAGACCTGCGCTCCGGAGCGACGCGCCGGGCTGCCGAACGTGCCAGCCTCGAAACCAGTAGAGAAGATGACGAGGTCCAAATCGTGGGTCTTGCCGTTAGCTACGATTCCCGTCTCGACTATCCGGTCTACACCCCGGCCGTCCGTATCGATGAGATGCACGTTGGGCCTGTTGAACGCCTCCAGATAATCGTCGTGGAATGTGGGCCGTTTACACCAGCCGGTGTACCAGGCTTTGAGGTTTGCGGCCGTGTTCTTGTCCGTGACGACGGCGCTTACCCGCTCGCGGATCTTGTTAGACCGAATGAGATCCAGCTGATTCATCTCGGAAATGTACTCGGCTGCCGTGTCCATGGCCACGTTCGTTGCCGCGGGACCTCCGGTGAGGACGCTGTAGGATGGGAAGCTGGTCCATCCGTCCGATACCATGTCGACCGGTTCGCTGGGCTGGACGTTGGCCCCAAACGACAGAAAGTTGCGCCATCGGGCCTTTTGCCAGCCTGGACCAGCCTGTATGTTGTGCGTCCACTCGTCCCCCTCCGTCTGTCGCTGGTTGCGCACGTCTACCGACGCCGGCGTTCTCTGAAACACGTAAAGTTGGTCGCACCATTTCGCCAGCGCTGGCACTATCTGCACCGCAGTGGCTCCAGTCCCTATGATGCCGACTTTCTTGCCCCGTAGCTGGTCGAGGTTCTGAGACGATGGGCTACCTCCCGTTGCCGCGTAGTTCCACCTAGCTGTGAGGAAGTTCGGTCCCTTGAAGCTCCCTAGGCCGGGTAGTAGAGGCAGCTTGGGTCTATTGAGCAGGCCCGGGGATAGTATCACGAAATCTGCATGGATGGTTCCGCTCGTGGACACGCCATCTGCTGAAGGCGACCGCTGCGTCAAGTCGACAGTCCATTCGGAACCGTCATCGTTCCAGGTGCATTGATGCAGCTCGGTCCTAAACATGGCTCGGTCATCGATTTTCCACTGCTTGGCGATTCTGTCTGCATGATCTCGCAACTCTTCCCCGTACGAGTACTTGTGTTTGGGCATATAGCCAGTCTCTTCCAGCAGTGGCATGTAGATGTAGCTCTCGGTATCGCACATGAGGCCAGGGTAGCGGTTCCAGTACCAAGTTCCTCCAAATCCGGCCGCAGTGTCAATGATGACTATGTCATGGGGCTTCAAGCCGGCGTCCGAGTCGAGCAACCGAGCGGCGTATAGTAGCCCTCCATACCCAGCGCCCATGATGGCCACCCTATATCGAGCGCCGGCTTGGAGGCGGATTGGCGATTCAGCGCCCTGATCCCATGGATCATCCAAGAACCCTTTCAAATGCAGGTCATCGATGGAGTTGAGGCTGACGTATTGATCAACGCCGTCGGACCGTAGACGTTTCGACCTCTCCTCGGCGTACTTTTGACGGATTCGTTCGGCCTCGTTGGAGCTGGGGCCGCAGGCTTCTGGGAGACTCTCGGGAGATTGAAGCATGCTTGCTATAATGCTGCAACGATGTTGGGTAGTGAGCGCTTAATTGCTACTTCCTTGTGTGATGAAAGAGTCGAGGGGCCACAATCATGAGAATTATGTTTACTGTGGGCTGGATATCATTTCATGGCAACATATCGTAGCATCCATACCCTTAGAAGTTTATCCAAATCCTAACTGCTCTAAACCGGGGGGTTTTCATGCACTGCATGTAACTCTCGCTATGTTGGTCGGAAATCGGTTCGAGCTTACGGGTTCGGCATCCTGGGAACCGTCCGCTCTCGGAGGATTCCATCGGAGGATTCGTCTGCGATAGAGGTCAAGATGTCAGGGGAGATGGAGAGGAGAGGAGTGCAACTATCTAGTGCTGTCGGCCCGTTGGCCCTTAAAAGTGAAAAAGATACAGTACGCCTGCCCGATTTGACTCACACTTGCCCACCTAGCGATACACCTTGGATACTCCCTCAAAATGGACAAAGTACCAACGCAAGACCACCCGCCCACGGCTTACAGTGTCAAGGGGAAAGTTGCCATCGTGACGGGCGCTGGGTCCGGCATCAGCCACGCCCTGACCAAGATCCTGCTGCAGCAGGGCTGCTCGGTCGTCATGGCCGACCTCACTCTGCGACCGGAGGCAGAGCAGACACTAGAAGAGGCCAGCACCGTGTCTGGAGTCAACGGGAAGGCGTCAGCCATATTCCAGCAGACCGACGTATCGGACTGGGCGCAGCTTCAGACGCTGTTCGACAAGACGCTCGAGACTTACGGCACTGTCAACATCGTGGTCAACGGCGCCGCCATCTACGAGCCCCCCTCTAGCACCTTCTGGCTGCCCCCGGGCGTGTCTCCCGCGGCGAAGGACAAGGTGGACTGCAGCCCGGGCGTGTACCAGACCTATGCCGTCAACGCCATGGGGCCCATACGGCTGGCGCAGATTGCCCTTAACTATTGGTTCTACCACCCAGACGCCGAGATGAACTTTGATGGAAACCTGGTGTGGCTGTCGAGTGTCTGCGGATATGTCCACCTGATGCAGTCGCCACTGTACTTTAGTAGCAAGGCGGCCATGAATAGCATGGTCAAGTGTCTCAGCCCGCTGAGGAGGATGTTTGGCATCCGCAACGCTGCCGTTTGCCCGGGACCGGTCAAGGCGAGTTTCCACCAGCTTCTGTTTCTCTCGTGGCAAAGATAAATATTTCGGCTGTGCTAATCTGTACATCTCGTATAGACGCCAATCTTCGATGCTGATTACTGCAAAGGCCAGCTTCTGCCCACAGAGTGCGTTTGACTCCTCAGTCTTGGGCCGAACCCCGCGAGCTAACAACACACTGCCACAGCATCGGTCTCACTGCCCAACAAGCCGCCGAGGAAACTTTCAAGGTCATGACGGAGCCGCAGTTCGGCGACGGGAATATCGTCGAGGTTGTGGCAGCACCGGGCGAATCGACTGAGCAACCCGTTGCTGTGCGCGTGCGCGAGACTCCCCTCGAGGCGCTCTACCCAAGTCCTCCACTGGAAGGCAACCACTTCATGGAGGAAGAGCAAAAGTTTATCGAGATGCTGAAGACGCTGGTATATGTTGGATAGGCCGGTTCAATTTGTCCATTGGTCACAAATTCTGTGACACCTTTATCGAGGCAACATGCAGGCCGAGTGAGGGCAGTCGTTTACGCATAGAGCAGCTGTAGGATGCGATGCTACCCGGCCACTGGACAATAATTTTATTTCATTTGATTTAAATGAAGATTTTATTCCTGATATTCTTGGCTTCAGTGGTAAATTACCACTAGAGCCCGTTTTGGACAGGATCCACAGGAGAGAGCTTACTATGAAGCAAGCCCCAAGCCCCTGAGTTTTAGTATGTATGCAGAACAGGGAGACAGATAGACTTGAGGAAGACAGCTGTTTGGTGATAATCTGACGAACTGAAGTGCATGTACTCGATCCACCACCATTTGTATGGTAATTGGAGGAAACTAGATCTTAGTTCTTCAACCAGACATCAATTTACCATCCTCTCTATTGGCCATGCTGGATACTAGCCCGTACGAATTCGACATAATCCATTGCTACGTACGAGACCTTACCAATTCACCGATCGTTGACAGATATTCTGCCCTACGCCATCAGATCAGCGCCACTAGCGTGGGGCCTTGGGCCCCTTACACCGGTGTTTCCGAGGGGGATTATTCGGAGGCTGCCGTCCAATCGGCTTCCTATTGCATTGCAGTGTGATGTGAAGAGCTCATGCGAGGAATATGTAGGATTGTGGACACATTTCGTTGGGATGGACACATTATCCCCAACGAAACGTGTCAGGAATCCCAGCCCAACAACATGCAAGCCTAATAAATGCGGCTCGGGGGGCAGCAATCTATCTGTCTCCGACGTTGCTGTGCTTTCGTGCGATATTTTCCTCGCCTTTTTCGTGTTAGGCGTTGCATTGGCGGAGAGAAGAACGTCTTCACCAAATCCACGTCACGTCGTCTGACCTGATCCAACAAGTGACACGCAGCTGACGCAGAATGGCAGCCTCTGAGCCTCTTGTTGCTGGAACGGGCCGCGGATTAAGGTCCAAGCCCTTCTACGACGCGAAAAAGCCTCACATCACAGAGACGCCCATAACGTGGGGAAACTGGTACCAACATATCAACTGGCTTAGCGTCTTCTTTATCATCATCGTCCCGCTCATGGGCTTCGTGGCGGCCTATTCTTATCCACTTCAGCGCACCACAGCCGCCTTTGCCATTTTCTACTACTTTAATACGGGGTTGGGCATTACAGCAGGTGCGTCGACAAATATCTCCTGCGGTCGGCACGGAAAATGCTGACTCGAGACAGGATACCATCGTCTCTGGGCGCATTGTTCATACAGAGCGTCAACCCCCCTCAAGATATATCTGGCGGCCGTCGGCGTCGGCGCCGTCCAGGGCTCTATCCGATGGTGGTCGAGGGGGCACCGCGCTCATCACCGCTATACCGACACCGAAAAGGACCCCTATTCCGTGCGCAAAGGCTTCTGGTATTCCCACATAGGGTGGATGGTGATGAAACAAAACCCCAAGAACATCGGCCGGGCCGATATTACCGACCTTAACGAGGACCCGATCGTGGTGTGGCAGCATCGGCACTATATCAAGGCCGTTCTATTTATGGGCCTCGTATTCCCCACGCTGGTTTGCGGCATCGGCTGGGGCGATTGGGTAGGCGGCTTCGTCTACGCGGGTATTCTACGGGCGACATTTGTGCAACAGGCCACGTTTTGCGTCAACTCCTTGGCCCACTGGCTGGGAGACCAGCCCTTTGACGATCGAAATTCGCCTCGCGACCACGTCGTCACGGCCCTAGTGACATTAGGCGAGGGCTACCATAACTTCCACCACGAGTTCCCGTCTGACTACCGCAACGCTCTCGAGTGGTGGCAGTACGACCCAACAAAGTGGGCTATCTGGACGTGGAAGCAGATCGGCCTGGCATACAACCTCAAGGAGTTTAAGCAAAACGAAATCGAAAAAGGCAGACTACAGCAGCAGCAGAAGAAGCTAGACATCAAACGGTCCAATCTAGACTGGGGCACACCGATTTCCCAGTTGCCCGTCATGACTTGGGACGACTTCAAAACCGAGTCGGCAAAGGCTGACGGGAGAGCCCTTGTGGCCATCGCCGGTGTCGTTCATGACGTTACTCGCTTTATCAAAGAGCACCCCGGCGGCAAGGCGTTCATTTCCTCGGCCATTGGCAAGGACGCAACAGCCACGTTCAACGGCGGTGTCTACCAGCATTCCAACGCCGCGCACAATCTGCTTTCTACCATGCGCGTGGGAGTCATCTACGGAGGTGGCGAGGTGGAGATCTGGAAGCGTGCCTACTCCGAGAAGCCGGACGGTTTCATCATGCAGGACAACAAGGGCCAACGTACTGTATGGGCCGGCGAGCAGGTCACAAAACTCTCTCCTCCGCAGAAGGGTGCCACCGCGGCTTAGATGGATGTGTGGGAGGGCAAAGCAGTTACGAGATAGAGCCATGTATTTCCAATTCATCCATAGTTCCCGGTAGCTGCAAATAAAGAAAAAGAAATTATGACCAGTACGTTCCACGGACTGTGCTATTGGACATTATCAAAGTAGTCGTTCTGATCATCGCTTGTAGACACAGCAAGAAAGCCAAAACCCACCTCAATGTTTCAAATGTTTCAGGCGGCCCCACTAGCCGTAGGAAATTTCGGTGGTCTTTCTTAGGATGGGGGCTGCAGATCCTCTGTGGACTCGGAGCATTCTATACGAGCATCTCGGAGCATCGGAGACTTAGGGCTGGTGGAGTGGCAAGGCTCTAAGCCTTCCGAAGAATAATCTTCCGTGCCTGCGGCGCGATACCTGCAGCATCATGGACCGTTTGTACGAACCTAGCGTGTCCTACTTGAACGAGTTTTAAGAATTGACGCTCCATTGTAAGACCGTTGAAGGTTGCCGTCCCTCCCTGGATCGTTTGACAAAGCCGCGATTGGAAGCCGCATCTTAGCACGAACGGGTTAGGCGCTGCCTACGCGATTACACATTATTGCAGTCACAAACACAAGCTTCCATCGTGAACTGTTAGAAACAAGACGCAGCCAGGATGTTTACAGCTACGACCGCGGCCATCGCCGTCGTTCTGGTGGCCGTCCTTTACGTTGGCTATAGGTCAGCCCTGCCGTGTCCACTGCCCGGCATTCCCTACAATGCCGCCGCCGCCAACAGGCTGCTCGGAGACATCCCAGATATGCTTAGTGAGGTATCCAAGTCGGGCGATATCGTGGCGTGGCTGCGCGACCAGAACCTCAAGTCGAAGTCCGTCATTAACCAGATCTTCATCCGGCCCATGGGCAAGCCCATCCTGCTGGTCAGCGACTATGAGGAGGCCCGAGATGTGATGCTCAACCGCATCAAGGATTTTGACCGCACCAGCCTGACGGCCGAGATGTTCAGCGGGCTGCTCAACAGGCAGCAGTTCACGCTCAAGACAGGCCCGGAGTGGACGTTCCACCGCCGCCTCGTCCAGGACACCATGACGCCGGCCTTCCTGCACGAAGTGGCCGCCCCCAGCATCTACACCAGCAGCCTACGCTTCGTGGAACTGTGGCAGGCAAAGGAGACGCTGGCAGGCGGCCGGCCGTTTTCTGCCACCGAGGACATTTTCCACTCGGCCTTGGATGCTGTTTTGTCCTTTTCCTTTGGGTCCAAGTTCCCTCACAGCGCCACGGAGCCGCAGACCAAGAGGCTCAGGGACTTTCCGGGAAGCGAACCTCGCTCAGATGGACTTGGAGCAGACCGAGACCAGGCTGTCCACTTCCCGCACGCGGAAATCGACGAGGCTATCGACTCGATGCTCGAGCTGGGCGATGCCATGGAGCAGGTCAAGAGCTCACCATCACCACGCATGAAGTGGTGGTACGTCAAAGCCACACCAACGTTTAAACGCTGGATGAGCATTAAAGACGGCTGCATCCGACGGGAGATTGAAAAGGCCGTCGAGGCACGCCGGCAGAACCAACATTCCAGCATCGGTCAGACATGGGAGCGGTCTGCCGTCGACCGCATCGTGGACAGGGAGGAGAAGCACGCCCAGAAGGAGGGAAGGAGCCCCGACTACTTCTCGGCGGCCGTCATGGACGAGGTCTTTGGGTTCATAGTCGCTGGCCACGACACCATGAGCACGACCATGTGCTGGGGCGTCAAGCTCCTGGCTGATCACGCCGACTCCCAGTCACAGCTTCGACGAGCCCTCCTCGCAGCCTTCAGCTCCGCTGCAGCAGAGAAGCGCGCTCCCACAGTCGAGGAGATCATGCAGACGTCGGTGCCTCTGCTTGACGCCACCATGGAAGAGATCCTACGCTGTGGCGGCACCGTGCCCATCGGTGATCGCGAGGCGACTAAGGACACGACGCTGCTGGGCCACAGGATCCCGAAAGGCACGCTTGTCTTCTTCTTGCACAACAGCCACAGCATGCTCTCGCCGGCGCTCGACGTAGACGAGAGCCGCCGCAGCCCGCGCTCACTGCAGGCAAAGGAACGTGGGCAGACGCGCAGCTGGGATGATGTGGACATCGAGCAGTTCAGGCCGGAGCGCTGGCTGGTCCCGGAAAGCAAGGGCGACAAAGACGGCGGTCACGGCGACGGTATGGTCTTTGATTCCCAAGCTGGGCCCAGCATCCCGTTCGGTCTAGGCGTCAGGGCGTGCTTCGGGCGCAGGCTGGCGTATGTCGAATTTAGAATCATGTTGACTATGATGATATGGCATTTTGAGCTGCTCAAGTGCCCCGACGCCATGTCTGGCTATGGAGGGTGCCTCGCCGTGGTGAACAAGCCGCGGCAGTGCTTCGTGCGTCTTCAGAAGGTCAGCATGTAGCGGATGATGACGATGCGGTTCCTGATGACGGCGGGTGCCGCGAGGTTGCGGGAATGCTTGGCAGGTCGCCGATCGCAGGTGGTAGTAGTGCTGGTATTCGCGGCCGTGAACACCGGGAAGCCGTCCTGTAAGGCCAACATAGAAGTGCCGATTAGGGGCCGCACCCATAATACAAGTGCAGTACTGAGTAGCTACACTCCTCTAGGGGGCAAGTTGATGAATAAAGACCCAGATAAGAGAGAGCTGCGGAGTAGTGGATCATTAAGCTCAGCCAATGGAATACGCTGGGATAATCAATCGCTCCGGTAAAATCAGATATAGTTGCCTACCCCTGGCAACAATTCTGTCAATGTGGCTCCGCCAAGCCTGAGCTAATTTTCAATTACACTCTGTATTGCATTTACTATGAGATACTTCATACTATATAAATCTATATATCTTCCATGGTTGAATTGATAGCAGGCTTTATAAACTACTAAATAGTATCCATTCACGAAAAATTCTCAAACTTATATGCCAAATATCATCGAGATTAGGCCTTCCTAACGATGAAATATATTGTACTGGATTGTTTAAAAAACATCGTATTACTAGCGCAAACTGATCGGCGGGATTTACATTGACAGAATTGTTGCCCCGGGGGGAGGGAGTTTTTCAGCCTCACAGCCTCACAGCACAAATTCGAATAAAATACATGAGGATAGCCCACGCGATTGATCAACCGGCAATGACAAAATAAATGGCGCAGTGGGGCTCTATACGGAGGACCCTTTCCATAAAATTTCTACGGTGTACTGAGTATGGGGCCAAAAAGCAGTCTACGACTTGTTACGATTTATCTCTATGATCCACTCCTCTGTGTTCGCTTCATGGAGGCTTTGGGGCTGCGAGGAGGGCGGCCGGGCCCGCAAGCAGTAAGCAGGGGGAGATGATTCACGCGTCGCTATCACCATCGGCGACGCAGAATGTGTGCGAGGGAAAATAGTCATACTTTACCCGCGGTGGGTTCGTTTTTTTATCGTTAGCTGGTCCAATGACGGCGGCCACAAAAGGACCTAGCGGGAGCGGATCTCGATTCGGCCTACTCCGTTCTCGCTGTCATGCTTCCGAACCCGAATTACAGTTACCTGCGAGAGAACCACAATCGTGCATTTGCTTACCGGATAATTTCCGTGATGTACGCAATCAGGCTGTCCATTGTGGATCATCGCCTAGCAATCAGCCTAGCAATCAGCGTGTCGCTCAACCAATGCCTCGTAGGTGGCGAGGCCCTCTAAGATGGGTCTTGTTGGGACTTCGTATGTGATGGCTTCGTGAGAAACCTTCGGCCCCGCCGCCGACCGGCCCGGCTAGACCTGGACAATGGGCTCCCATTCACCTCGACCTAAGCCCCCCCGGACGAGAGCCTTACCAAAGTGTGGTTGATGTCGAACCGAGGGCCATAAGAGAAATGCATGTCCAGATATACCTTAGCTTAGTTGATCTGATAGAGCGCAGCTCGCTTAGGAATCACGTTAGTGTAACCAGTTCTGTAGTTATTTAGTTTTCTGCCAGTCAGTTTCAGGCGCCCTCTATATACGCCCCCTCATGCACCTCTGTATTCTGTGCCGTGTCCAGGACGCTGTAAGCCGCATAGCTGGCAGAGGCCTCCTGAGCACGTGGGTCCAGAAGACTGCCCGTAATCAACCAACCTTCTCCGTATGCATGAGAGGCGATCCACGTATGTTGTAGTATTGATATATGGAGGACACAAGGCCGTTAGCCCCGGGGGAATTGAACGGAAGGGATATACTTTTTGGATCCTGGCCCCCTCTCCCCCAGCCGCCGCTCTTTCACGTGTATGATAATATGATAATGCACCCTGCACAGGCCTCCGGCACTGTCGTCGTGACCAACAATGCCAAGAGATACGCTTGCGACCGCTGCAGAGACCTGAAGCTTCGGTGCCCGCGGAACTATGAAGATGCACCTTGCGACCGCTGCCTGCGTGCAGACGCTCGGTGCGTCACGAGCAGCGGTCGACCGCTGGGTAGGCCGCCAGGCCAGCCCGAATCGCACGTCGGCGTGGCCGTTAATCAAGCTAGTTATCACCCCCAATACAAACGACAAAGAGTAACCGGAGACCCGCCCGCCACAACCAGGGCCCGCAGGCCTGTGGGAGTTTCCGGTGCTTCTGCGATACCAAGTCACAGCCCAGCTAAACCCATGCGCGCGTCCTACCACCACCACCACCCTAGTGTTCCCACCAATCCTGGCCCATCTCAGTTTGACGGCATGTTGGACATGCAACTGGAAGACATTCACGGGCCGTACGACCTTCGAGAACCGAGCACGGGGTCCACATGCCTCGGGAGCCACGGTAGCGGTTTCCCCGCGACGGGCTCTGGGGATACGTCGCCCTTCTTCAAATCACCCCAGTGGTGCGCCGCGGCTCACGATTCCCTGGACGGCACTTACACCGGCAACCGCGACGCCTCTCACACACAAAGTATCCCAAACCCGGACGAGTTCTGTGACTATGACATCGGGGCTCCTGACATGGAGCAGAGCTTATACGACGAGGCGCACGACAGCAATTGCGCACGGCCAGACGCCCCGAATATGAGCAGCAACGGCAGAAACGGCACCGACACGGGGTCGATGACCGGGAGGCCCAACAGCGACTGGACGATGCCCCTGATCAATGCGCTAGGAAGCATCTCGCGCCAGCTGGCCGAGCTGAGGATACAAGCATGCGACCTGTCGTCGTCGCCCGTCGGGGCCTGCACGTTCAAAGGAATCACGCCGAACCTCGACTTCCTCGACACCCCCTTTGTGACGGCCCTTCGGACGCCTCCTCACTGCGGACAAAGCTGCTGGAAAGGCAGTCATGGCCACGATGAGATTCGTGCTGGTGCTGCAGATGATGGCGCCGTCGCCGGTGGACTGGACCGGTTTCGTGGGCGAGAACGACTCTCCCTGCGCAGCAGAGGACGCTGCCTCTCGCCCCACGTCCGGTCGCTCATCGCCTGCGCCGACGTCCTCGGCCAACACCGCGCCGCAGGTCACGCTAATGGTCCTGTCGACCTACCTGCAGTTAGGGGAGCTATTTGACATCATCCTCTCGCCCACTATTCAGTTCTTGGACAACTCAGCGAATGTAGCCCGAGCCCCGGGCGAACCGACGGGGAAGACACCGTACGCCCCGATTACACCGAGGCCGTCGGACCCTCAGCGGCCCTCTCTTGGAACCAGTGCAACAAGCCATAGATCGCCGACGTCGGCCCAGGGCGCCGCCCGGCCGCGCACTCAGGACATATTGATGACGATCCGAGTCGTCGAGCATCAGCTACATACCCTGGAGAGCCTCATCGGCCTCCCCGCTCAATATTGCCTCGTGGGACGCAAGGATGTGTCAGCAAACGTCATGTATCGCCACGAGGCGTCGGTGCTGGCCAAGGCAGTGATGCGACAGGCGCTGCAGACCTTAATATCGCTTAAAAAAACGTTGGACTGTATCCAGACTGCCGTGGGGGCTCCGAACAACCCGGCGAGACGAGGTGCTGATGATAGCTTGAAGAAAGGGAACTTATGGACTGTCTCATGACAGATTGGATCTGGAGGAGGCAGAGTTGCTTGAGATAACCTAAAGAAAGGGAAACTGCTGCTGAACCGCAAGGCTGGGCGAGTTTTCTTTCAATGGCTCGATTGCAGGTACATAGTAAATTTTAGGCAGATTGAATACCGATCACCCGTCGCGATACTCCCGGTGCAATTGGGAAAGCCACAACACGACTATGTTCAATTTCGAAAATGACAAGTTCTTTAGCTCGCAGCCAAGCGCCCAAACGAATGGGCCTCAAGAGACACCGGATCTACACCGCTGATAGGTACATTCTGGCGGGGTGAAAGCTGTCCTTGGCAGTAACCAAAGTAGCCCGTCGCAAGCCTGCATTATGAATGATTTCCATATTGTAGAGCCTCGACATAGTAATCAAGCAAGATACCGTGCGCGTCCTCGCAGACTAACGCAGATGGCAGGAAAATTCCTTGAGGTAATTAAAATCGTGCATGATAGTAGGTAGATTTGGATAGGCGATAAGATAGCCCGATAAGGACGCACAGGCCACCGTTCCCAGAGAAATTTGCTTTCCACAACTTGACCAAATCTTTCAAATCGCCAACGATCTCGTCTTTTCTCTTTGTCGATCAGTGGGAATAGTCCTAATACACAGGACAAAATGGCAGACACTACTGCCGCATCCACCAAGCCCGTCCACACAATCGTGCTGGACGCTGGCCCGATTCTTAAGAATACCCCGCCGCTTTCAACCCTCCTTGCCCAGTGCGACGAAATTATCACCACCCCCTCCGTGGTGGGCGAGATCCGCGATCCCGATGCCCGCGCACGTGTCGAGACCCTTTACCTGCCTTTCTTGAAGCAGCGATCCCCCACACCCAAGAGCTTCAATATTATCAGCGAATTCGCCCGCAAGACTGGTGACCGTTCTGTCCTGAGTAGAACCGATATTGAGGTCCTCGCTCTTGCGTACGAAATTGAATGCGAAAAGAACGAAGGAGATTGGCGCTTAAGAAGCGTGCCTGGACAGAAGAGAATCAATGGAAAGCCGCCTGTGAAGGAGGAATCCGAGGAGGCCAAGCCCGACGATGCGGAGGTGGAAGCCATTACGGAGGGAGTGAAGGAGACCACAGTGTCAGATGCCCAGGAAGAGTCGCCAAAGGAGGAAGAAACCCCTGCAGCGAACGAGGCTGTCGAAGTCGCCGAGGTTGCCGTTGCGGTTGCTGAAGAAGAAGAGAAGGACGAAGATGAGGATGCGGAGGATGATGCTGCTGATTCTGATGACGGAGAATGGATCACACCCTCTAACTATAAAAAGCGTCTTGCTGAGGATGAGTCTGGGACAGCGACTCTTACCGCTGCACCCAAGACAATGCAGGTTGCGACTATGACCACTGATTTCGCGGTAAGTACACCCCACGCAACATCTATCTATCGGCCAATTGCTTATTCTGTATAGTGTCAAAATGTTCTCCTGCAAATGAACCTCAATCTTCTGTCTACCACCACCCTCCAGAAGATCCAGCATCTTAGAACCTTCATCAAGCGCTGCCACGCTTGTTTCTTGACCACAAAGGAGATGAACAAGCAGTTCTGCCCTCGCTGTGGCAAGGATACCCTCACTCGTGTCTCATGCACAACCACTGCCAACGGCGCGTTCACAATGCACCTGAAGAAAAACATGCAGTGGAACAAGCGCGGCAATGTATACAGCGTTCCTAAGCCGATTGCAGGCAGCTCGAACGGCAAGTGGAAGGGCGGCGGTGGCCAGCGAGGCTGGGGTACCGAGCTCGTTCTTGCCGAAGATCAGAAGGAGTATGTCCGCGCCAACGAGGAAGAAGAGCGGCGGCAGCGTCGCGAGCGTGATCTCATGGACGAAGACTACCTGCCTGGCATCCTGACCGGCGAGCGCAACAGGGCTGGCGGTCGTACCAAGGTCGGTGCCGGCCGCAATGTCAACTCGAAGAAGCGCTAAATGTGCTGCGTGGATGACTTTGAATCTTCATTACATGGGCTGGCGTTTTGGGGCATGGAAAAGAAAAAAGTTCACTTGGTCAATGCCGCTGTCATGGTGGTTGTCGGCCTTTTTATGAGGAATGACCATGTCTTGTCTTGTGATTTACGGTTGAACATAGAATATAGCCAATCCATAGGGCTCTTATGAACATTTTAACAAAATCCTTGTTGATTACCTAGATCAGGTATCATATTCTCTAGAATGTCTAGGTCAAGCCCCGAATAGATTATTCAAGGATAGCAAAACAAGTATGGACATCTCAGCCATCCGTTGACCGCAAGAAAAACACCATTCGCCAAAACATGGGCTATGCCACCCGGTAATTCATTTTTCCCAGTGTCGATCCATTTAAGCCTTAACGGGGGTCTCTGAACGATAAAATGTCAGTTTCTAGTACTTCTGAGATAGCATAGTTTGGAAGGAGAGATGCGACGTACCGGTCTGCTGGGTGAGGAGAAGGTTGTAACGCTTCTTCAGGGTGACACGGTGACTGGGAAAGAGGTCAGTTTTCAGTGCTTTCATTGTGCTCCTCTGCGAGTGGAATTGCTACTTACCGAGAGTACTTGTCATCGGGGGAGAAGCGAGCGGGGTGGGCAGACTTGGTGACCTCGCCGTTCTGGACCTATAATTGCCAAAAATTAGTATCGTTGTCCAAAGTTGAAACTGTGATCCAAGGAGCCACATGTTCGCTGAAAAGCGGCAGTCGCTCGGCGCAAAGATTTCCTTACCTTCTTCAAGGTGTAAACACGCTTGCCAGCGGTGTCGAGGGTGTACTGTTCGTCAAAAAATTAGCGACCGATCTCCGAACGGAGCTGAAGATTCGCTCGCTTCGATGTCGCACTGAAACATACCATAAGATGCATTCTGGAGAGAGCAATATTAGCATATGAGCAAGACCACTTGGAACACGGACTAGCAACTTACTTGGCGGTATTGATGAATTGTCCTGTGTTAGTACTTGCGTCGGCGATAAGTGGAGGAATTTTTTTCTCGACGAGGAAGAGCTCGGACCACCCGTGGACGTTGCTTAGTCACGCGGTGCTTTTTAAACGGAGCTTTCGACCGCAAAATTTCCTTTTTCTCTCGCACCTGAGCAGAGAAGAGAATAATCTCTCTTAAATGACTTTTGAGCTCTGTTAATGTGCAGAGCCATGGTGATTTTTTACTAATTGACACTTGATTCAGCTTGTTCATACACACAGAGATTTTTAGGTAAGATACTCCTCAGCTCTTCTACCACTCCCCCTCCAGCCCATCCTTCACCTTCGGTGATGACACCTTTTTATTTAGCTCAGGCAGGCGGCACTTTTGATTTCTAGTTGCCTGTCGATGATCCGCTGAATTGACTACAACGGTATCTGAGAAGATATTACCATGACGATTGATTCACTCGCATGTTTCTGCACAGTTCGCTAACCTCGAATTTTGTGTTTAGGACTTTGAATATTTTCTTCATCCAGTAGCGGTTTCCAGGATGGCCACTCCAGTAACCAGCATGGACAAGTCTGTGGCTGTCAACTCAGGGCCTGCATCAGATGCACGTCCGCCTCGTGCCCCTCGACCTCCTAGGCCAAACTTCAGACAGATTCACCAGTTTCCTCTTCCGGTCAATGTACATCACGTTCCTCCTGTAATTCCTCATAACCCTCTTTCTCTTATAAGCGTTGCTCTCTCGTACCTCACATTTCTTATCTCCCCGCCCCGTCAAGAAGTCTACTCGGCCTACTTTGACAAAGCCACCTCATCGATCCATGTCACGGACGAGAGATCCATTAATGCCTTGTGGCAGATGGGATTCTTCGGCAAGGGTAGTCTAAGTCGAAGTGAACCAAGCTGGCTGGCGCGAGAGAAAAAACGAAGAGGGTTACATAATGGGAAGACCAGTGAGGAAATTACAAGACAGCGACGGACTGAACGTCGTGAACTGAAGCTAGAGCGTGCCCGGATGGAGAAGCTGGCCATTGAGGAAAGACTCAAAGCCGAGGCGGCTGCTAGGGAATCTGGTGCTTCTGAGCCTCTTGACCAAGATGCCCTATCAACACCCACAGACGAGACGACTAATGCCACAGCGACTGCAACAGAGAAGTTCTCCTTGAAGAAGGCAAGAGAAGCTCGGGCGCTGGAGGCACGGCAGGCACGGGAATTGGCTGCACAAAATGCGGCTCCCGCTGAACAAAACCAACCCGAGACCTCGTCTAGCAGCAAATCCGTGCGCTTCTCATCCGTCGTGCAAAAGAAAGAATTCATATCCACCTCACCATCGTCACTACAATTGCCTGATTCCGTCGCCGACAGCCTCGATGTAGGTGACTTCCCAAATGCTGAGCATCTTCAACTTTCTCACGAAGAGGCATTCTTCCTTGCCTATTCGCTTGGAGCATTGCAAATCTATGATTCACCCTTAACATCCGGGGAGATCCAACCAACCTCGCCAACCACCACCTCCGCCCTCCTCCAAAAGTTCTGCCACCACTCCTTCCAACCTGCCCGTGACAGCTCCGCATCCCTCCAACCAGATGATCCCTTCATGATCTCCTACGCCGTATACCACCACTTCCGGTCCCTCGGTTGGGTTATCCGCTCCGGTGTCAAATTCGGAACCGACTACCTGCTCTACAACCGCGGACCGGTCTTCTCCCACGCCGAGTTCGCAGTCATCATCGTTCCTTCCTACAGCCACCCTTACTGGTCCGAGACAGAAGAACGGCAGAACTACACCGCAGAGAAGCAGGCGAGAAGCTGGTGGTGGATGCACTGCGTCAGCCGTGTGCAGGCCCAGGTGTTGAAGAGCTTGGTCGTCTGCTATGTCGAAGTGCCTCCGCCAGCTACTTCACTTGACGATATTGGGGCGCTGTTTGGCCAATACAGGGTGCGCGAGTTCATCATCAAGAGATGGATTCCGAACCGCACTCGTGATTGATTGTCTTGGTTTCTTCTCGGGTCCCCCAATGGCGGGAAATGCTAAGGGCTTCAGATACCCTCTCTGTAATTATGTTGCATTGTTCTTGCATAACTGTACAAATGTATCATGTTTGCATTATGACCCATGAAATCTATGTCTCATTTCGAAGCTTCTTTCCAAGCCAATTAGTAAACTGGTTTATTAATGTAAATAATCAAAATGTCTACACTGCCAAATCATGTAGAACGCTGTTGAGCAGGTGTGTCTATGTACTCTGGTGGCGCTAGGCCGTTATAGGTAATATTACTTTTAAGGCACGTGACACGCGCGTTTCGCGTTCTGACGCCTCCATTAGCATTTGTGGCTCGACACAAGGTATTTGAAGTATCAGGCTGCGTTAAAACGAACTCTACAAATATTACTGTCGCTGTTAAGACGTGCTAGACTTCAGCGACCGTATGTCGTCGAAAAATGGAGACCCAGGATGATAGCATCGACATTGCAAAGTTGCAACGCGACGCGTTGGGGCTAGTATGTAATGACCCTGCAGCGTCCCTCGCCCTCATTGGACTAACTCCGACATCCCCAGGAGCACGACCCATCTCAGCCGTACCTTTCGAGGTCTGCAAAACCTAGTAACGAGCCAAATCACACTTTTTGTTACACATACCACACAGTCAACGGTGCTTCCAATGGTGACGGAGTGTGCACCGGAAAACACCTACCTCCGAAAACACCATCGAACCCCGCAAGCCTTGTACACCAACACAAATTCCCTCCGTCTCGACCTCGGCAGCATGAACCACGCACAATAATGTCCAATAATAGTGGCAATGAACCGGCCATTGTCTCAGGATCGCAATTAGGCAACATGAGCTCCGTAGAGGCTGCTCCTGGTGATACCCAGGTCGTCTCGCAGTCAGTGTACGATAGCATTATCAGACAAAATGGGGAATCGATGCAACAAGGGTATTCACAAACGGGGGCCGACGGAGCGACATTGAGAACATTGTATGAGGGGGACAGCGGCCATATCGACCTCCTTTCCGAATTGGACGCCGCGCACCATGGAACGAATCTCTCCCAAGATGACGATGATAACGACGACGAGAGCACTTTCGATCAGAACGAGTCTTCTCCAATGGCCTACGCACCCGACCTCTTCCCGGAATCGCAACGGTTCCTAGCAGAAACACCCGGCACGGTGGTGAAAAATAATGAGGCAAAGGGTGGGACAGCAGAGACCCCGAGCATCTCACGGAATCCTCTGGCTAGTGGTATCGAGTCAAGTGGCGGTCTCCTTGGTCTGAGCCAGCTTTTCGGGGCTACCCAGGCCCCGTCGTCTCCCATTGTCCACGGTCTGCAGACGGAGCTTGTATCGGATCGTCCGTCGCCCAATATCCCGATTCAACCAGCTCGTGTTGTCAATGGCATCTCTTCGCCGTTGATGGGCTTGCCAGTTCAGTTCATGAGAGAATCATCCGAACCGAACATGAACTATATATCGATGAAGGAATCGCAGACAAAGCGCGACAGGACTTTGGGGGAGAGGTTGACTCGGTCGGCCGACAATATCCAGTCGGACCAGAGTGACAAGGAATTCTATAAAGAGTCGAGCTTTATAGAACGTGCACGACGACAGCGAGAAATCGACGAGGAAACTGCGGCTCAATTCGCCGGGCTGAGTGCTCCTGCCAGATCTACATCCAACCTCTCCGCTAGACTACGGACTTCTCCCGAGCAGGCAGGTAAACGACAAGAAGACCAGGAAATGATAGAAGCCGTTGCCAGCGAGGAAGAAACCGAACAAGAGGAAGATGTGCAAGTTCCCCGGTCACAAGAGGCTCCTCAATCTTCAGCCGAAGAAGACAAAGAAAACTATGACGGACCTTCTCTGGATGCCGCTGCCGCCGCTGCTGCTGCCAGTGCCCATGACCGACTATCTCAGGTACTTGGGTTTGAGCCAATTCCCTCCCCATCCTGTGTGCGAGTAGACGAGGAATTGGAGGATGGGATAGCTCATGGAGGCTCCTTCCGCCCCCAAAAATGGTAGTCAGCCGAACGGTATTATGCCTTCTTCCCAGGCGATGGTAAAAGACTCTCAGCCATCACCCCAATCATCACCAAAACGCATAGAAGCCAACAATATTAAGAACATCACCCATCGGTCGCCCTCGCGTTCTCATGTGAATTCCCCCACACGAGACCGTCTTCAGTCCTCCTCTCCCTGCTTGCGACCACAATCAAGAAATTCGAACAGCAATACCCAGAGAAATGGCTCTGTATCAAGTGAACCTGCCATTCAACCCGTTGAGGATGCATCCCTTAACGAGAATATACCAACACACTCTAGCAACCCCTCGGAGCAGCAATATGTAAACTCGTCGCATTCCAGAGTGGACGCGGGAACTGTGGGCAACTCATCATCGATGCCATCCCGTGTGGCTGAGACACCTATGAACCAACGTCTTAAGCATCTCGGTGATATGGCTCGATTGACGAGTATCCCAGAAACAAGTCCCAGTCAATCCCAATGCAATTCAGAGGCTGGGTCCAATGGCGATGGACTGAACAACGAAGACGACGACCTTCCACCCATGTTCAATGAAGTCCCCAGTATTCGAAAGAATCATATCCGCCCAGCTGGGGCAAGGGCACTCTCCTCACCTCTCAAAAAGTTGTTGTCCAGTCCGGGCGGAGGCCAACGCAGGGCTTTGACTGAAATTGCGGCAGATCTTTCGCCGCAGGTTGGGGCAGGAGGATTTGATATGGGGATTGGGATCTTTACCACCGAGGATCAGGAGTTCAGAGCCTTGATTGATGGATCGCCGACTCGACCGAAGAAGAAGCGCCGCGGCAATGATGGCTCGGGTTACATTGCCTCCGACCCTATCATACCTCTCACCCCTCGCATACAGCCCCCAAAATCCGTTGCACCCATTCGAGCAACACAAGAACGACCAGCTCCTATTCCTGCAGATTCGGATGATGTACCTTTGGTGCAGATCCCTGAAAAAGCTGTGCGAAGGCAATCAAAGCCCCCGCGACGAGCCCGGGAGAATGTTTGGGAAATCGAGGGATCGCCTGAACAGCCCTTCCGCCGGAGATCAAGAATTGGCAAGACGGCTCTCTCAATGTCTACGCAAGAGAAGCATGTTCCAGAAAAGAGCTCCGGACTTACTGCGAGATCAGCACCCCCACCAAAAGTTGTCGTTCATAAACGACCACCACCTCCATCATCAGAACTCACTGAGGTTTCATTAACAATTGCCTCAGATGATATCATCGAGTCAGAGGCGAACAGTGTCGATGACTCCCCTACCACGCCTCGACCATCTCACACTTTATCGGAAAACACCGTGGTTGCTCCAAGTCAGGTCCTTTCTGTCTGGATGGGCCAGAAACGGGCATACTACCCAGCGACATGCTTTGGAACACCACTGGGCGTGTCACAGGTTAAATATTCCGTGAAATTTGAGGATAGTCTTCCAGTTGAGGTGCCAAAGGGTGCTGTTAAGAGATTTGAGCTTCGTGTCGGAGACGCTGTCAAGATTGAGATGGATAATGTTCCAAGGGTCACTCATATCGTCCGCGGATTTGATGACAAGCTCACTAGAGAAGAGCTGGCTAAAGCCGCTGACTATGGCCTTTACCCTATAACCGACATTTACGGTCATACCACTGTCATAGTTGGTCCCAAGCAACGCAAAAGTCTGCCAAATGGAGGGATGAGCAACAGCGAGAATGTGATCAAGGTGCCTATTGCTCGTGTCTATCTCGATACTATCCTGTGGAATCAACTCAAAGATCGGATGTTCACATATCGCCCGGTGCCTGTTCAACAAGACAGCATGGTCCATACTCCATCCGAAAGGTCATCCGCGCCTGCTTCTCCCAGTTCTCGCTTGTCCCGCAGCATTCACCAAGACAGCGGAATCTTCGCTGGGATGGTATTTGCTGTCTCTTACAAGGATGACGAAGCATCTAAAAATCGTGTGACCAGGCTGATCATCGAGAATGGCGGCACTGTATTACATGATGGATTTACTGAGTTGTTCGAGCCATCGTCAATTGTTCCTGTTGATATTCCCACCAAGGGTGGAGCCAAGGATGCAGACCTCAATAACAAGGGTCTCCGTCTTACAGCGCTTGCTGATGACGTTGGCTTCGCCTGTTTAATTGCCGATACCCATTCTCGACGAGAAAAATACATGCAAGCACTGGCATTGAACCTTCCATGTCTAGCCGGGCGGTGGGTAGAGGACTGTATCTCCCAAGGTCGCGTCCTCGACTGGGATATCTACCTCCTCCCAGCCGGTGACTCAATGTACCTCAACGGAGCGACAAAATCCAGAGTCATGGCTCCCAACCCTCCATCCACAGCCCGTCTAGCCGACACCATCTCCGCACGAACAAAGTTACTCGCTGGACAATCAGTGCTCCTTGTCATGGGCCGTGGAAAGGTAGAGGAAAAGAGGAAAGCCTACATCTTCCTGACTTACGCCCTAGGTGCTTCCCGTGTTGAGCGTGTCCCTGATCTCGGCACGGCCAGGGCATTGATAGACTCGCAATCTGATGCCGGTCTGTCAACTACCTGGGACTGGATCTATGTTGACGATGCAGATCAAGCTGCTGCAAAGTCGATGTTGACACCCAAACCAAAGACGCAGAGAATTCACTTGTTCCATGGGAAGAAGCGTAAGAAGTCGATTGCATCGTCGACTCCTACGCCCCCTAATGAGCTGAAATGCACTGCGAGGGTTGTCGGTAATGAGTTTGTTTGTCAGAGTTTGATTTTAGGTCGCTTGTTTGAGGAGTGATTTCTTGTGCTATTTCTTGATACCAATGTCATTTATTGTATTTATTTCTAAATGGATCTATTTAGACTCACATTTCCCTATCCTGGGATTACCACTCGCTCCATCCACTGTTAGCTAGCTTGGCCACTTGGCCCTGGGGGATGAACCCTGGGGTGTTATGCCGCTGAAGAGGGATCTTGGCTTTGAATGCATTGTTCTTGTAGCCAATGGAGTGTTCCCCAAGTTGTACACTGAATCTATATCCACCCCTATCTCCAAATATCATGATCATGCACAAATATCAGGTCTCATGCAGTGCAATGGAATATTCGAACCACACAGACTGTTTGCCTCTTAGAAGATTGCCTGGATGATTCTTTGTCTGGCTTTCACCTAGGATCTAGTATATATACTTGTTCTAGCATGAAGAATTAGTGGTTTCCTTTCTCTTCTTCATATATCGCTACCCAGTGGGGTTATATACCTGATCTAGGCTGTGTCTATGAAGAAGTTTGGGATATACCCTACGACTGTTGTGTATCATCACATTGCTCCCGCTCACCTATCATGCGTATCTTCCATGGTCTTCTCGCAATGTTAAGGGGAACCCTCCTCACTTCGCGGCCTCAACAACAACAAAAGCACGCGACGCAAAGCAGAGAGACCACCGCGCCCACCATCGTGCTTAGAGGAGCTCACAGGCATCTCTACTCCTAGTGCCGGCACTCGTATCCTCTTCCGTCTTCATCCCATTCCGTCCTCTCCTCTACTCTTACACAATATCACCATGCCTCGTCCTGTCGGCAAAGCTTCTCTTGCTAGTAAGAAAAAATGGCCCGCAGAATTCGACTGCGCAGGGGACATTTATGCTGACCGATGGCCAATGGGCCATCCCGTCATCATGTGGGCTTTCGGCATTCCCTTTGTCGCAGTCTACGCCAATTATTACGTGATGAGCGGTAGCAGTCTCAAATCATAAATTTGGTTGTTGACGAAGAAACCCGGTCATTATCAGCTGTCCAATAAGAACTTTCACTTCGGAGAAGTCGTCGTGGACCCCTCCAAGTTAAAAGCACCACGCCCGAACGCTCCCTTCTGACGATTCCTCTGCTAGTGTCAAGCGGCACAATGTCTAGCCGTCCAATGACGAAGATGATCTCCTCTGTCTCGGTGATGAGCTCCCTTCTGGCTGGAATTGAGGTTTGTATCAACTGATGGATCGCCTCGTTTTCGATTGCATTTTTCTCTCACTTTTCTCTCACCTCATATTGCAGCAGCCAACTATATAAGGCATCAGGTGGTACTGCAATCTTCGTCTTGATACCCCCTTCTCTTTCAGAAAAGTTTTGTCTTCTTATACAGAATTTCTTCTCATCCTCTGCCTAATACAGCCCTACTCACGGACCTGACAGTTCAGAGGAGAGTGGCAGCTATATCTTTCATATCATTGTGTCGATTAAGATCTCATGAATCCCAAACATACCATGAGCATGGCATAGCCACCATGTGACAGTAAGACTGTAGGTTCAATTCACCTTGAGGACTGAAGACCGAGCCATATTTGCGAGCACTAATTTGTTGGAATTGAGGTATGGATTAGATGATGGACGACCTGTCATGCATTTGGCGCCTTCCCTCAGGCCGTACTTTGATATTTCTCTTCCTTTTCTTCTTCTTCCCTTCCAATTACAACTTCTCTTTCCCACAAGTCAGTTTTCCCGCAACTCACCCTTCCACAACTTCGCTTTCAAACACAGTTTCTTCTTTTTCCTATTACTTCTCTAACAAATACTCTGCTTACAGATTGACAACTCAAGATCAGTAAGTGCTCAACACAATACCTCTATCTGTCCCAGAAAGGTAAAGCTGACTGAAGGAAAGAAGAAATGCATCACACTGGAGAGCACCATAGCTCGTACAATGAGGATCTTGACATTGTGTTACGGCTGCGCGAGCGAGCGAGGGAGCGAGCAGAAATAAGACATCGATTGCTGGATGAAGCCACGACTACCGCAAACAGAATGAATATCATTTTCCTGGGAGGTGGGGAGCCTTCCGATCCGAGGGTTCATGCCTTGGAAAGACGTCTCCTACGGATTGCGGAGAGGTTTATCCTACTCGATGAGGCGCAGAACGAAGACGAAAAGCTATCCAGACAGATTTTGGAGCAGTGAAAATCAGTCGGGGATTAATTTTACAAACAATCCAGGATGACGATCTCTAAATATATCAAGTGGAGAGAACCGTAACTCCCACAACGATGATCTTGATACTCTACTGTACCTGCGTGAGCGAGAGGCGCAGTGTGCAGAGATAAAGCATCGTATGCTCGATGAAGCTGCTCACGTTGCCAACATGATGAATACCATTTTCATGGAAGGCGGAGAGCCTTCCGATCCTAGGATCCAGGCAATAGGAGAGGCGGCTACTTCACATCGCGGAGAGATTTGATCTCCTCACAGAGAGGCAGGAGACGGGCTGGCCAAAAATATTTCGGTGGCGAAAATGAGTAGGAGATTGTGGCGCCTACAGAAATCGCGATCATTACATGGTACGAGGCTCAGTACAGAGCATATCCGGCATTTGTGGCCCACTGTTACGAGCACGATCCATCGGGAAGCGAGGACTGGTTGAACGTCCGTGTACCCAAGATTGACTCATTCCAGGGTATGGAGGCAAGCATTGCCTAGTTGACCTGGTTCGCACGAACGAGCTCAGATTCATGCGTGAATCTCCAGCGACTCAACGTGGCGTGTAGCCGCGGTTTGGTCAGTGTATTCTATCCAACCAAACAGGTATGAAGAATGCCTTGAATTGCACGCCAGCCTTCCCAAGCGACCGCTCTGATATGTCTCCATCCCAAAGCAATCAACGTGCAGGATCAGATGAGAGCGTTGACGCAGACGAAAGCGATGCAGACGAGAGCGATGCAGACGAGAGCGTCCATAACGACTCCAACAGCCAAAGAGCCGATAACTGACGCGTCGCAGTCGACTAGACACCCATCTCCGAGTGAGCAGGTTGATACGGAAAACCCTGTCGGGAAAGTCTTAGCCATAGGAGGAGAATTCATATTAGTCTAATTATAAAGATTAGGAATTCATTTATCGAACCCCTCACTATAGTGCCCGTATAGGCTATAGGACTCTTGCGGGAAAAGCAGTTAGCTACCCCTTAAAAGGTCTCTATAGAGGTTTCGATGAAGCTAGATAGATTCATATTAACGGAGAGGCCCACGACAAAGTATAACGAGATTATCAGTGACTAAGAATCATTCCAACAAGAGGAAGGAGGTGCAATATCGGTGAACTCATCCAAACACTATCAAAGAATAGGTCAGTTAACGCGAATAAGTCCTCAGTCTGTCTGCCTCAGAAACGTAAGGATAACTAACAGCAAGAAGAAATGCCTAACGGCGGAGACCGTCAAAGTTCGCGACGAGGATCTTGAGATCGTGCTGGTACTACGAGAGCGAGCGATATAGCTGCAGAGACACAGCAAAGGATGCTCGAGGAAGCCTTGGAGAGGTGTTTACGGAGCATTGTCGAGGAATTCGTTCGGCTCGTCGATGTATAGAGGGAAGACAATGAACTGTCAAAACATATCATAGGGGATAGAAATGAGTGTGGTTATTTCATCTTTTCTCTTTTCTATATCCAGCTTAAGAATGACGGCGTAAAAAGGTGATAACCAGTTAATTGCTGGCTCTTTTACGGGGAGCTTCGTCATCCTCACAGACAAAGATGAATAGAAAGCTCTCCACAAAGACGATAAAGCTAGTTAAATAATGTGTCTCGTGGTGATAATGAAGAGGCTAGGGCATTTACTTTTAAACATCATGACGTTTATGTACACGGGATCCGGACTGTCTTCCAATCCCGATGTTTAAGCCTTGGAGAGAAACTTTTAACAAATCGCAGAGGGGTGTACTGTGCTGGTTATTATATAGAGGGAAGATGACGAGCTGGTAGAACGGATATCTCAAGAACTGTCTTCTGATATAATCCAATTTGATACTGGTCTTGCGTAACAAACTCTCCTTTTCTCATGTTTTCTTTTGCCATATTCTGTCTGTTTTGCAGGCACTCAACTTCCATCATCTCTTCACTTTCGACACTCTCTCTACTCTCTCCTGCCAAACCAGTGGCCTCATCTCCACACACAGTCTACTTTTGACATACCCCAATTGCAGCTCGAGAGTCAATACCCAGATACAGAAACAGACACGCGACTCATTGCGTCGCCTTACAACAGCCTCCCCCATCTGCTGGACACTTTGCACTAGAAAGACAAGACCGACTCTTCGCATTGGCATTAGCATACCTCAAACCCATCCGCGACGACTATGCCACCGCTGAATACACGGAATCGTTCAATTGGACCGAGGTATTCGAGTTGTTGAGAACTTTAGCCGGGCTGTCCCTCTCTGACCTGTTTCCCATTATTCCTGTGAGCAACAAAGGCAACGCTCTACCATGGTCTCAATCTTTCCTTTCCAAGCGGGCCCTGGAATCATAAAATACGATATCCAGCGTGGTTTGGATTCTTTCAAATTTTTATTTCAAACGCCGAGATCTCCAACCACCGACCAACCAACTGAGATGTTCGCCTCAGTGACAATGGACCACACACACCACGCCGGCCGCATAAGTAATAGCAAGCAACATCATTGCAACCAACATTATTGCAGGCGGGACCGGATGCTTCATCGACCAAGACCCCTCGATCAACCTCTTCAGATAAAAGGAAGGGTGGCTGAACAACTATACAATGTACTGTTCAATCCTCACCAACGGACCCATTTTTACCAGCAAATTCGACAGCCGAACCCGGTTAGCCCGCGTGGTCAGGTTCCGAGATGCTCGAGATTGCTTGCCTTGATCTCATTCGCTTGGAAGTTGGTCCTCTACACGACGCCACCAATAATACATGCTCTACGGATGACACTGAGCTGAGCAAGGACGAGAGTTCCTCGGCTGTTTACCAACCCTCTGGAAGCAGACAATCCGAGCTCTGTTTTTGCCTCTCGTTAGACAGTACATTTCGGCCATCTAACAGAATAGGATGTTGATTCGAATAAGGAATGGTTAAGCAATGGAAAGAAGATGAATTTGATTGTCTGGGAGTTACTTGGGTCCATGCAATAGTCAGACATCCGTTTTTTGCGAATCTAATCATTGTCAAAGGAAACCAATACAATATTATTCTAACAACCTTTGAGTAATCAGCGAGTCGCACTTGGAGCAATGTCTATGCTGTCAGATAACCGCCCAGTAGCGGGGATAGGCTCCGGAACACCTGCCTCACGAGAGGTATTGTCCGCGTCTCCAGCTGCCGGTTCTTTGCCTTTAGGTACTGATTGTGTACTCGGCTCCAAAGCCGCAACATTCTCGGCAGGAGATATAGGCTCTGGCACGTTTGACGTATGGGTAACGTGGGTGATTTTGTGGGATACTTCAGCGTCTCCGGTTGCTTCATCGGTAGCTAGCTCAGTAGCTGGTTTACTTTCAGTAGCCGGAGTTGTCTCATGAGCATCTCGCTCATGGCATACACCGTAAGAATCTCTGGTGAGTGATTCCGCAGTTCCAGGCGTCTGCTCTGCGTTTAGCTCGACGACTGCTGACTGATTAGCAGCAGGCGTTAGAATCCCCACAGAAGCCTCGGGACTTTGTTCGCGCAACTGCTCGGTTTCCTCCGGGGTTGGTTCCGCAGTTCTAGGTGTCTGCTCTGCGTTTGGCCCGACAGCTGCTAACTGATCAGCAGCAGGCGCCAAATTCCCCTGTAATTGCCCGTCAGGGGGTTGCGCAGCAGCCTCGGGATTTTGTTCGCCCGACTGTTCGGTGCCCTCTGGAGCTGATTCCGCAGGTCCTTCAATGCAGAAGAAGTCCCCATTCAAAACCTCAATGAGGACTCCTGCTTCAGGTGGTGGTGGAATCAACCCGCTCAGCAGCTCCTTTGCTCGAATTTTCCGCCCATATAGCTTTTTGTTTGCATCCGCACGCTCGGCAAGCACACCACCCTCGACTGTAAGACCGCCGTACAATCCACGGGTCTTGGAGTAGGCGAATACCCCAGTTGCGCCCTTGGTGCCCACTACTCCCCCAGCCTCGGCACTCCGACCAATGGGCCCGACAGCCATGGATATATTCCCACCAAGAGTCAAGTTTCCCGACTGCATGAATGTCTTCACTGCTGAATCGGTAGTCAGGACGAACACGAAATCCGTCAACTCTGCGCCAAATTGACCGCCGGCACCGAGGCCGCCCATTGCCATGGCTGACGGGGCGGACCAGCTGCCGTCTGGGAGACGGGCGACGATCAGTCCCGAGCCGAAGCGGATAGAGCCCAAGAATCCAACTCTGAGTGCTGTGAATATGGCGATTCCCTGGTATAGAGTAAGTCATGATCGGTTGGGCTGTTTTCCTGGTAGCATATATCTTACCTTGGCTCCCGCGAATATCTTACGTGGGATTTCTCCATCGATTTTGAGTTTCGGGTTGATGAAAGATTCGAGAATCGCAGCGGCCTTTTTGCACTCGCCTGTGGAACATGGTCAGCCGGAGTCAGCCATGTGGGGTAGCACGGGGTATAGTACTAGATAGTGAGGCAGGCAATGGGTTGTGCAACGGGTTCTTCATGGCAGATATCTTTTTTCTCCCGCTTTGTGATGCTCTTTGCAACAAGATATATACGTCTAGCAGAGTCAGGTATGGCCTCGATATTCAGCGTAGGCTTGACAAACGCGAATGAGAGAGAAAGAATGATATTAAGCCAACCCAGGAGTCTACGCGAATTCAAGTGATGGCTGTTCTCACCGAGGCAAGTCATATAATAATCAGGGGGTCGGCGTTTAACTTAAATTGCGCACGGACGTTTCACGGGTTTAGTATACTTCGCGATTGGAATAGAAATGGACATGAAGGTTCATCGGATTTCCAAGGTATCTTATGCATAAATTCTAGTTTCACAACTCTCCTATATCTAACAGAATGTTAGTTATTTTACACGGAATTGATTCGGGAGAATGAAGCCAAGTATTTAGGACCTCGTTTGATAGAATATACTATGTGATATATATATCATATTACTTGGCCGATAATCAATAACTCCTAAACATACTCATTGTTTTGAAGCCATAAATCTCAATGTTGGTAACCAGCTTGATGAATTGATTCTCTTTGCCTAAAATAAACCAGTCACCCTAGTAGATCATCAAGGGATGGTCTAGGCATGGTGCAGCCTATATCACGTGTCTAAAGCAGGTACATAGCTGGCGTGAGAATGTAACATTCTCGGAGGGACTATTTCGTTCTTTATGATCATTTACGCATATGTATTGTAACGTTATAATTAAGCCGAATCAGAAATAAAGTTCGACCATAACATCCATGGATAGGGCTGGCGGGCCGCAGTTATGCTTTTTTTTTTTGAGCCAGCTACACTAACATACCAAGTTATGCCCGGCCAACGGGGATTGGGCCGTGCATTTGGCTGGGTAGTACCTATATCGGCTCTGTTTCGCTGTAACATAGAGCCACATCTTGCCTCAAGTACCCAGCGGTTGCACCATTATTCCCGATGCTGTTCCATGCCACTCTAGTATTCCTCATTCTCCATACGAGTAGCGTGGCATCTGCCCCTTCGGAACGTCGAGCGATTCCCCTCGCTGACCGAACGTTCAATTATGTGGTCGTTGGTGGCGGTACCGCTGGAAGCGTGATCGCGACGCGACTAGCACAGAACGACTTCAAAGTTGCCTTGGTCGAAGCTGGGGATCACTACGAGTTTGAGTCCGTGTCTGAGTTTCCTGCAGCTGATGCGTTATCGATGGGATCAGATCCTACTTTCCGCTCACCGGAGGATTGGGGCTTTGTGACAAGAGATCAACCCGGTGCTAATAGGCGGGCGATTCATTTCGCCCGAGGAAAATGTCTTGGGGGATCGTAGGTATCTCTTTCCGAATCTGGCATATCAGATCAAAACTAATTTCTCTGCAGGTCAGCGTTGAACTTTATGGTGTATCAACGGTAAAGTCCCATGGAGACTGAATGCCCCTGGCTTGACTAACCGGGACCTGCAGCCCGACACGCGAGTCTATGGAAATATGGGCAACTGCAGTCAATGACAGCAGTTACACATTCGACGAAGTGCTCCCATTCTACAAAAAGAGCGTCAAGTTCACGGCCCCAAACACAGGCTATAGAGTTCAAAATGCCTCTGCGGACTATGATATCAATGCCTACGACTCGGATGGCGGCCCATTGCAGGTGTCGTATGCTAACTTCGCCGAGCCTTTCTCGTCATGGATGAGCCTCGGTATGGAAGCTATCGGCATTAATCAAGTAAAGGACTTTAACGTGGGTGAGCTAATGGGAGCTCAGTATTGCACATCGACCATCGACCCGTCCAACGAGCTCAGAAGCAGCTCCGAGCAATCTTTCCTATCCAAAATCAGGCCCAATTCGCTGACAACCTATACAAATACCCTTGCCAAGAAGGTGATATTTGATGAAAAGAAGAAAGCAACAGGAGTTCAAGTGAAAGGCTTGCTGGGCGATATCTTCACCCTTTCGGCATCGGAAGAGGTTATCATCTCTGCCGGTGCTTTCCAATCCCCCCAGCTGCTCATGGTGTCTGGCATTGGCCCCATCGACCAACTAAAAGAGCATGGAATCGACATTATAGCCAATCGACCAGGGGTTGGTCAGAACATGTGGGATCACCCATTCTTTGCTCCTTCGTACCGAGTGCGAGTGACAACATTCACTAAATTTGCTACTAACGCGGTATACGCGGCTGGCCAAATTGTGGAAGCATTACTCGCCAAAAAAGGAGCCGTCACAAACCCAATCGCGGACTTCCTGGCCTGGGAGAAGATTCCGCGATTCTTGCGCTCAGCTTTCTCCGAGAAAACGCAGAGTAAACTGGCCAAATTCCCATCCGACTGGCCTGAAGCAGAGGTGAGAGATGATCAATCATTAAGAAACTCGGCCAATTGACTCTCAGGTAGAGAGAAAGGCTGCTAACATGCAGATACATAGTACATTTCTGCCGCAGGGTATATCGGCAACGCGTCAAACCTCCTAGCAACCCAGCCAAGAGATGGATACCAGTACGCCTCAATCGTCGGTGTTCTGATTACACCCATGTCCCGAGGAAATGTCACGTTGCGGTCGGCAGATACCTCAGATCTGCCAGTGATCAATCCCAATTGGCTCGATGATCAGGCTGACCAGGAAGTTGTCATTGCCATGTTCAAGCGAATACGGCAGGCTTTCCAGAGTGAAGCTATGAAGCCCGTGGTCATCGGCGAGGAGTACAACCCCGGGCCGCAGGTCCAGTCCGATGATCAGATCCTCGAGTTTATCAAGGACAATGTGATGACCCTGTGGCATCCGAGTTGTACTTGCAAGATGGGAACTTCCGAGGATGATATGGCTGTGGTTGACTCCCAGGCCCGGGTTTACGGAGCGGACGGACTGCGCGTAGTTGATGCTAGTGCATTTCCTTTTCTTCCTCCTGGTCATCCTCAGTCAACGGTTTGTAGGTTTCCCTCGGTTACTGCGCTGATTTACCAAGTGCTAACTGCGTCACAGATATGCTTGCCGAGAAGATCGCGGCGGATATTATCCGGGATTCTCAAGTGCCTTGATTTGGACTCAAAGGCAAACATGGGGAAGGATCGAATGACTCAAGACATTTATTTGTAAATTGATATTTAGATAATAAATAGCCTTTTTGTTTGGTTTTGCTGGGCTGTGCTAACGCCAACTATGGGAGGCACACTTTATACGTCAGGATGCCATGAAATATGGGACCGAATATGGCAATTGCGTGTCAATGTCTCCCTTAAAAAAAGAAGAAAAAAGGAATAATACACGTGGGAAAGTTGATGGGTAAATGCTCTTTCTATAATACAGTGAACACCAGATACAAATCCTCATATCGCTACAGAAACCCAGAAGTTATTGGAACAAGACATCATGCACATGGCAAATGCCCTCATTTCTTGGCCGTCTTCTTCTTGCCCTTCAAACTCTTCAGCTGAGCAGCCCGCTCGGCTCTCTGCTGACGCTTCCTCCACGCCAACCAACGGTTACCACGGTCATGGGGTATAGCAGTGATACCAGCCTTCTCCGCAGACCGACCAATCTCCCAATTAGCCTCACGGTACATGTAACCGGGGCGCAGCTGTGGGCCAGACTCAGCCTCGACAGCCTCGACATCTGTCACACGGACACCGCTCTCATCAACAGTAGCAACGAGATCAGACTGGGCCTCGACGCGTTCTGCCATCGGCACAGGGGCCATGTTCAGCTTGCGCCGGCTGGGCGCATTGCGCGGGTGCGGGAGCTGCTCGTCCTTGTCGAAAACAACTCCGATATACCGGCGCTTCGAGTGCTTCAGCGGGTCGAGGTAGTAGCGCACGTAGCCGGACTGTGTTGCGTAGATTGTGTGGTCCCGTCCCATCCCGCAGTTCTCACCGGGGAACCATAGCGAGCCTCGCTGCCGGAAAATGATGCATCCCGTTACCACGTACTCGCCGCCCGAGCGCTTCGCTCCGAGACGCTTACCGGCCGGATCACGTGAGTGTTGATTGGCCGTTCCTTGAGAAGCGTGCGAGGCGTGACGCACTTGTGTGAATGGGAGGAGTGCGCGGGAGAGGGAGGGTGTTGGTGTGGTTTTTGGGAATGTGGATGTTGCGGAGAGGGTGCGCAGGAGGGATTGCGATTGCGAGAGCGTGGGTGTCGACCGGATTGTCGGGGTGAAGGCTCGCTCCAGTGCCCGCAGGGGCGTTAGCACTCGCGGCTTGAACATGGTGAGTTGTAAATTGGATTGTTTGGAGGTGTAAATCGTGAAGCTCCAAAGGGGAAGTTTTTCGTTCGGAGATCAGGCTTGGCGTCACGTGTGCACCCGTAAACTGGCTTCATCTATACACCACTTGAACTCGTTTACTTTCTATACAAATACTCGACTCTGCAATTACTGTCGGTGTGATTATTTGAATTATGTTGCAGAGCTGGCGCCAAGCCCTCTGGGCTCTTCTCCTTCTCGTGTCTGTCGCCCAGGCCCAATTCAACTTCTTCGACCAGATGTTCGGAGGCGGCGAGCAGCAACAGCGCCAACAGCAGCGGTCGCAGAACGCTCCCAGTGACAGCGATCGGTACCGGCAGATGTGGAGTGGAGGTAAGTCTCAAAAATATTTCATTATTGAGAACATGCTGTCCCAAGTTCACATTCCCCTCGGAACCACATAACTGACTATCGTGGTCTCTCATTACAGCACAATGCGACCACTACCTCTGCCCCGGAACTCTTGCTTGTGTACACTTCCCACACCACTGCCCATGCCCTCACCCTGATGTCGAGGAGAAGGTCGAACTTGGAGAAGGAAGTGCTGTTTGTGTGTCGAAGGGAGGGTTCAAAGCAGGCGAAGCTGCGCGGAAAATTGAATTGGCTCGCAAGGGTCTGCTGTGAGAAGATGTGGGTCTATGATCTTTGTTTTATCATACAAAAACTGCATGCAGCTGCCGATGGGTTGTGAGGTCAAGTCATGGAGCTTGGTGCCGCTGGACGGATCAATTAGGATTACTATGAATCTTTTCTTGGACATGCCCAGATGTGCTCCAAAATTAGAAAGCTTACTTGGTATATGGAAACGCGCTGTCTATATGCTCTACATCACCTATTATTCTACATAAGACATGCCAACCTACTCCCTAGTCTACTACGTATATGCATGCAAAGTGATTCGAGGTGCGATTTCTCATGCCCGAAAAAGCACTCGTCGGTAATACTCATAAGCAATGGAACATTGGGTAATGAATTCACCTGGAAATTAGTAGAATATCTTGAAAATAGAACACTATGACTCAAGTAGAAGTAAACGATCTACAATACAATTGCCGTTGCTATCTCCGATTATCTCCGCAGTGACCTTCCGTCATCGGTTTATCAGCCTCTCTCTCCGCGGTGGAGTGTTCGGATTACTTACCAACTTCGCATTCCATCAACCTGTTGCTTCAGTCCTTGCCTCTAGGTTAATCCGGTCCCTCTGAACTACCATGTGGGGTTTAAGACTCCGATCCCTGCAAAAACAGTGGACACCAGCTCGAACTCGAGCTCTTTCGAGCTTCAGAAGTCATGCATCACAGCGCGGTCCTCGCAATAGCATAAAAAGACCAAATCTCATACAGACTTCAAGGAAGGCCGAACCCTCGCAGCATCCTGAGCCCGCTGCCATTGAATCCCAAGATGCCACAAGTCCCAATTATGACCCTTCGCAGAACACTCTACTTTCTCCCGTTTACGTGCCTGAAGATCCCAGAGGTGTGCTTAAAGAAAACCACCCGGCAATTTCGATACTGGCGAACTCAGGGATAGTCGTACAACGAGAAATAGAGATGATGAATGTTCTGATGTGAGTGCTGTGCAAGTGCTGATTTGAGAGAAATATGTGTACTGACTCCCTCAGTGGATTTGAACAAGCCAATAAGTATGTCATCATGGATGCGATGGGAAATCACATTGGATATATGGCAGAACAGGATAAGGGATTCGCAAATACAATTGCACGTCAATGGTTTCACACTCATCGAAGTTTCGTGACGCATGTATTTGACCGACAAGAAAATGAAGTTCTTCGAGTAAGCTCATGGAATGGCCATCTTTTGGTATGAATTTCACTTGGCTGACCATCGCAGTTCAACCGCCCCTTCTCTTGGATCAACTCCCAAATCCATGTCTATGACCCTCTTGATCAAACGCCAAATGCTAACTCGGTATCCACCTCTCTTCAAAGCACAACACCCGGTTCTCTCATTGAACCTGGCACCAGATCCAGTGCAAGAATATCCCCACTTGGTCTCGGTCAAATGCGAGTTATCGGCGAAGCCCAGCAGCAGTGGGCACCTTTGCGGCGAAAGTACAATCTTTTCACCCATCACCAGTCCCCAAACCCGGAAACAGACATGGGAACCCGTGATTTCTCGCTATCTCACTCTGGTTTATCACGAGCACAGCAGACGCAACTGGCGCAAACATCCGACCAAGACCAGGGTCAATTCAACCAATTTGCCTACGTTGATGAACCCTTTCTATCATGGGATTTCTCCCTGAAATCAGCAGACGATCAGTTAATTGGATCCGTCAATCGCAATTTCGCAGGCTTTGCTCGCGAAATCTTCACAGACACCGGAGTCTACGCAATGCGAATGGATTCCGCAGCTCTCGGTACCGAGACATCACACGGCAACAAAACTTTAGGCATGACGCTCGACCAACGTGCTGTTATGTTGGCTACAGCTGTAAGCATTGATTTTGATTACTTCAGCCGCCAAAGTGGCCATGGTGTATTTGGCATTCCGCATGGGGTCCCCATGGGCGGTCAGGCTCCCGCTGGCGGTGCAGCTGCAGAAGGCGCTGCCGCCGGTGAAGCCGGTGCCGTTGGCGGAGTCGCTGGAGGAACTCTTGAGCGAGTTGGAACCGCCGGTGGTGTGCCAAATGGTATGGTTTCAGGTGCTACCACTGCAGGTGCAATGGCTGGGTATGAAGCAATGCAGAGGGCCAACACAGCCGATTCAAATGCCTCACCATCAGAACCGGCGGACCTGGACTCAGAAGGCTTCCAGGATAAACCTCAAGACCCTTGGGGTGAAGATGATTCTTGGGGTGACGGAGATGACATGGGTGATGGGGGTGATGGGGGTGATTATTTCGACTGGTGATGAGGGCCAGTTTCTGTACTATAACATTCACGATCTAGATGTAATATTTGTTCTTAAACCAAAAATATCACCGTTCATTTCGGCATTTGTCAATCGCATTTTTCCATCTCTGCCTTAAATCCAGGTTCCCCCAACGGCAACGCCACGCTTTGTCCACCGCCCCGGAATTATTCCATCCCCACCCTTCATCCCACCCAAGCCCCCGCAGACACCCTACCACCTAAGTATTTCCAGAATCATTTCGCATTTGAATCAATTAAACAGCAAAAATGGCGTCCACCGTCGCCCAGAAGCGCCTTTTCCACGAATACAAGAACCTCTCCACCAACCCCCCAGACGGTATCACTGCAGGCCCCGTCTCCGAGGATGACATGTTTTATTGGGAAGCCCTGATCCAGGGCCCAGAGGAAACCCCCTTCGAGGGCGGCGTCTTCGCAGCGGAGCTGAAGTTCCCCAGAGACTACCCGCTGAGCCCGCCGACGATGAAGTTTATCGGAGGTGGCGTGTGGCACCCGAACGGTACGTGACCGAGACAAAGCAGGAGTGATTTGCACGGCTACTTGCTGGCGTTGCATAATACACAGTGGCAGACATCTTACTGATGAATTTGGATTACAGTCTACCCCAATGGAACCGTCTGCATCTCCATCCTTCATCCCCCTGGCGACGACCCAAACCACTACGAACATGCCTCGGAGCGCTGGTCGCCCATCCAGAGCGTGGAGAAGATCCTCATCTCTGTGATGAGTATGCTTGCCGAGCCGAATGACGAGAGCCCCGCCAATGTTGAGGCTGCTAAGATGTGGCGCGAGCGGAGAGCCGAGTACGAGCAGAAGGTTAGGGACGAGGTGAAGAAGGGTCTGGGTCTGTGAGCTGGCCTGGGTTGTGGATGAATGCCTCGATTCTCTCGCTGCTGTGCAGGTGGATTTCTGTCAATATGGTCTGCTTGTGCTGCGCGGGAGTCAAGATTTGATGACTGGCGTTCCAAGGGTTTCTTTTCTTTTTGCATGGTTTGGATATGCGATGGCTTCTCGGTCTGTACAGTGCATTCTTATCCTCGCATTATGATAGCGGATGAAATACATGCAGTTCTTTCGATACACTGTTCTGTTCTCTTCTAGCGGCTTGCTAAATCCTGCATCTGCTTTAGTATTCTCATATCTTGTTCTTCTACTAAAGTATTGGAGATATATGGCAAGTACTATGGTATATCATTCCTGTCTTTAGTTCATGTGGTCTATACATCTATACCTTCCTAGATATACAGATCCTACAGCATCTTACTCCTGCCGAAACATCCTCCGATTAATCCACCCCTCCAAACCCCCTTGGCACCCATACAAGATCTCAATTTCCGCCTTCAAATTCAAAACCAGCATCCGCTGCAATTCAGCACGCCACTCCGGCTCCGGTCCATCGCTCGCCCAGACAGGACTGTTCCGAAGCATAGCCATAATCTTCTTGCGGTCTCGCGTCGTCAGCGAGAGAAGAGCCGTGTCACCAAGTACCTCCGGAACTGCTATGATATCTGTCACTCGAAGACCCAACCATTGCAGCCTCGGGATACTGAGCCGGCCATTTTGGTGTAAGTGTGCTGCCGAGCCGTACTTGTACGTCGACATGATGGCCATGCCATGGGGATCACCGTCGGTGAGGGCATAGAAACGGGGCGGATGTCTGCTCTGGTTGGATGCGGAGTCGGACATTGCGCGCAGGAATGTTCGTGTCATGAAATCGGGGTATCCTTTGCCCTGTTCGAGTAGCGTTGAGTTCGGTTGCTCGTTTTGGGGACAGAACATGCTAAACCGGAGACGCAGCTTACCGTCACCATGATCCCTTCTCCGGCCAATGCTCTGGTGTGGTAACTTATTCGTGCGAGCCGGTGGAAGACTGCCTATGGATGGGGGCTCAGCGTACTGGTGCTGCATATGTGGTCTCTTCATGCTTCATACCTCTTTCTCGATGACCAGTACCCAGCGCACCCGTGAAATGTCAATCTCGTCTCCATCCTCTATGCGAGGAATCAAACTGTCCTCGATAGCAGACTGCGCATCGATCAAAGTATGGGAGCCACGGATCAATCGAAATTCTCCTATCACTAGTCCTTTCGCTGCCGCTTCCTAGAAAGTCGTGCACAATGTCAGTAGCCCGATCTCGCAGTGCTATGATATCAAAGGATTCGGCAGGACAAACCACATTCAATGCCGCTCTGTTCACTCCGATGGTGTACGCTAGGTCATCGACAATGTGGTCCACGATATACTGCACGCGGAAGAATTCAGGGTCGATATAGTATATGTCTCTGGTGATTGTATGGATGTATTCAGCATACCTTCCAGACCGGTTCCTGGAGATTGCCAGCTCACCTCTTGGAGATTAGCTGGCCAGTTCGAATAGCTTGGTCCAATATAGCTAGGATTCGAAGGATGACGGCTATCAGAACCCCCGGACCCGGTCAGTATGTCATCCAGGAAGGATGCCCAAGTCGTGGTCGGACTATGGTAGGAGGAAAGATCTTACTAAATTTCCAGGCCTCGTGTGCCGTCTTTCCAGGCCAAGAGTATTTCCTGTGCGTCTCAACTCTGGGACTCGCTTCCAAGGCTCCGCTGATGGGGTTGATGATGCAAGCAATTGGGCTGGCTCTGCGCTTGAGGGTGATGGAAATGTTGGCCTCTGCCGGGGATCGTGAGAGTCCATGGAGGAGGGATGCGAGGGTGTTGTCGATGAATTCTTGGACTGAGGGATCTCGACCATCGTATATTTCCAAAGTGTGGATGGTTGATGGCTCAGCCATTGCCATTGGGGTGGATTTGGGCAAGGCGAGGTGGTGCTGGGGTTGAAGGACAACCTTGGAAGTGAGTAGATGCAACACCATATCTACCCGTGGACCACCTGCCCAGGCACGACGAGCTTACATGGCACACTCCGATAGTAACTACCTAGTATACATCTTACATTCAGTTGAGTATAATATAAATGACAATTTGGATCAATACCATTAAAAAGAAGCCTTTTAACCTACTATAACTTAATGACCTATAGAGATCAGAAATCGTTTACTATATGTCAACGATTCCCTTCCTCTCCCTCTTCTCGTTAGATCTAGAATTTATTGCCATGAAGATCTGGACACTGAACATTTTCTCTTGGTTCAATCGATTATCTTGAGGGGTTTAGGGTTCTTTAAGTGTATAGAGGAACGCCAGTCCACACCACAACACCACCCACAGCCACGCCTCCTATGCCCCCTGTCTCTTGACCAGGATATCCTTGACATCCTCTTCCTCCTTTCCTTTCTTTTTTTTCTTTCAATCAATTGGTCTGCCTGGTATCACATGACGTAAAACATTCTTCATTCTACACCGCATTCGTGATACTGATGACTAAGCTTCCCCGGCTTCCACGCGCCTGGGCTATCCAAGTTGTTGTTTATCGTCTTTGACTGGGCCAAAAAGACCCAATTCCTCATATGATGTCTTCTACTCCTCATATCGGACCATGGAGAACCCCAGCAGAGGGTCACCTCACCCCAGATGCCAATGGGGATCTTAAAACCGACTACTCGCGCTGGCGATTGGTTGATGAAGAAGGCCGTCAAACATGGCGGTATCTCGAATCTGATGTGGAAAACAAAGAGTGGCCGCAGTCGGTAGCTGATAAATATCACTTGGGAATGCCAACTGTATTCAACCCCCTCCAAATTGACAAAATATCTCAAATTTTCAATCAATTCTGACGGCACATTATAGGGTCTTCCAGAGCTGCCAGAGGCCAAGACGCCATTGAAAGCCGCTGAGAATGGGCTCTCATTCTTCTCGCATCTGCAGCTGGAGCCCGGAAACTGGGCCTGCGAGTACGGTGGCCCCATGTTCTTGCTGCCGGGTATTTTGATTACTTACTATGTGACCAATACCCCTATTCCCCCCGAGTATGCAACGGAGATCAAGCGTTATTTGTTTGCGCGCCAGCACCCAGAGGATGGTGGATGGGGTCTGCACATCGAAGCTCACAGCTCTGTCTTCGGTACTTGTATGAACTATGTGGCATTGCGCTTGATCGGTGTCAGCGAAGAGGACCCGCGTATGATCAAAGCACGGGGCCTTCTGCATAAGTTTGGAGGTGCCACCTACGGTCCCCATTGGGCTAAGTTCTGGCTCAGCATTCTGGGGGTGATGGAGTGGGAGGGTGTCAACCCAGTTCCCCCTGAGATTTGGTAGGCTCACGCATTGCAAAAAGTACAATCTCTCTTTTATTAACTGACTGCATAGGCTTCTTCCAGACTGGGTTCCCTTTGCTCCTTGGCGATGGTGGATTCATATGCGCCAGGTGTTCCTCCCAATGTCTTGGCTATGGTCTAAGCAGTGGTCTCACCCTCTAGACGACTTGACAAGACAGCTGCGCGAAGAGTTATACACCCAGCCATACAGCTCTGTCGATTTTGCTGCGCATCGCAATTCGATTCACGAGGTAGACAATTATTACCCCAAGACGTGGCTGTTGAATGCAGCCAATGAAATGCTCGTTCGGGTGTGGAACCCTTATCTTCGTCTCCCCAGTATTGTCAAGCGAGCTGAGGAATGGACCTGGGAATTGATTCGCATGGAAGACGAAAACACCAAATATGCGGGGCTGGGACCTGTGAACAATCCAATGAACATGGTAGCTTGCTTTGTCCACGACGGGCCTGACAGTTACTCTGTCCGCCAACACAGGGAGCGCTTGAATGACTATATGTGGGTAAAGGGCGAGGGCATGCTCGCAAATGGCACCAATGGCGTGCAAGTTTGGGACACGGCATTCATCACCCAGGCGATCGTCGTTGCTGGTTTCGCCGACGAGCCCAAATGGCGACCGATGTTGACAAAAGCTCTCGAGTTCCTCGAAGACCATCAATTACGAGAGAACGTGCCCGATCAAGAAAAATGCTACCGCCAACACCGCAAGGGCGCTTGGCCATTCAGCACCAAGGACCAAGGCTACACCGTCAGCGATTGCACCGCCGAGGGTCTCCGATCAACACTTCAGCTGCAGGAGATGCACGGTTTCCCTAAGCTGATATCCGAACAACGTTTGAAGGACGCTGTCGACTGTCTTTTGCTCATGCAAAACCCAAGCGGCGGCTTCTCCGAGTACGAAATTACTCGCGGTTCACCCAAGGTCGAGTGGCTCAATGCCGCAGAGGTCTTCGGCGGAATCATGATCAGCTACGACCACCCCGAATGCACAACGGCGTCTGTTACGGCTCTGTCACTCTTCAGCAAATTCTACCCCAAATATCGCGCCGACGAAATTCGCGCCGCGAAGCAGAAGGCTGTCGGTCACATCAAGCACGTACAGCGCGCTGATGGTAGCTGGTATGGCTCTTGGGGCATCTGCTTCACCTACGCAGCGTTGTTCGCGCTAGAAAGTCTGGCCAGCGTCGGTGAGACATACGAAACGAGCGCCGACTCTCGTCGGGGCTGTGACTTCCTGATCGAGAAGCAGCAGGCCGATGGTGGCTGGGGCGAGTCATATCTTAGTTGCGCGACCCATCAGTATGTTCAGCACGAGAAGTCCCAGGTGTGTCAGACTGCCTGGTCTCTTCTTGGGCTCATGGAGGCGGGCTACCCGCACAAAGAGCCGTTGGAGAGGGGCATTAAGCTTTTGATGTCTCGCCAACAGCGCAATGGTGAGTGGCTGCAGGAGGCGATCGAGGGTGTATTCAACCAGTCTTGGTAAGTTTGAACTGACCTGACCTTCTTTTGGATCTTATTTACTGACCCCCCTTTCTAGCATGATCTCGTATCCTAACTACAAGTTCTACTGGCCTATCCGTGCCCTGGGCTTGTATAGTAAGAAGTTCGGAAATGCGGAGCTCGTGTAAACCATCTCAAGGGAAAATATTATCTCCCACCTATACACTTAATTAATAATAAATGGCTCTATTCAGCGGGTATTGAATTGACATTGGCATCGATCCTTTGACTGTAGTGTGTTTGTATATAATTTAATATCATTTCTTCCTTTCTCCGTCGCTCCTTTTTTTCCCCTCACCTTCCCCTCACGGCAAATACAGACTCACGTGACCTCTCACCCACAATGATTGATCGACAGGAGCTTGGACCACTGCGGCTCATCATTCATCCCTCCGTGTTTGATTGCACATACTATTCTTCACTTAAACCACTTCCGATCGACCCTGATACCATCACCATGAGTGCTGCAGCCCAGGGTGACAAGGCCTCGGCCGCATCGAACTACCCCATCGCTATCGAACACTACACCCATGCCTTGAGCGAGCTACCCCGCGCTCCGGCATACTACATTTCGCGATCGACTGCCTATTCGCGCCTGAAGCCCGCAGATGGCGGACCCAACTACCAGGCTGCGCTCAAAGATGCCGAAATCGCACTCCAGCTTGCCAAAGAGCGTGGAAACCGTGAGCTGATCCTCTCCGCTCAGATGCGCCGTGCCGTGTCGCTGTACCAGCTTGAGCGGTATGGAGACGCAGCATTTGTGTTCGAAATCATCGCAAATAAAACCAAGAGCGAGAAAGTGCCAGAGAATAAATCGGAACAGGTGCAGGCTGCCATGGGAGGTCCAGGATCCGGTTGGGGAGGCCCCAGAAACAATTACAGCGCCCAATTGCCGATTTGGACCGCCAAACTTGAACGCAAGCTAGCAGAGTTACCCAAGGACGATCCCAAGTGCGCTGTATCTATTGCCGAGTTCCCATCTTCTACCTACGTTCCGACTGGAGACGAGGTGAAGGCTCAGTGGAAGGCCCTTAAGGCTGGCAACAACGTGGGAGTGGCCGGAGCCTCTCAGCAGACTGAACCTCAGCCCTCGACGGAATCGACCCTATCCCCAGCGGAGGCTGCTTTAGCTTCTCATGTTCAAAACTCAAACACCAGTGCTACGGCTACTATTGCTCCGCAGAAGGTTCGCCATGAGTGGTATCAGTCACAGGACTCTGTGGTTGTGACTCTCTATGTCAAGGGGGTCCCAAATGACAGTGTCGCCGTCGATCTGAAAGAAGATTTGGTGAGTATTCTTATGCATGGCCATTATTGGACTAAAACTAATTCTGCAAAAGGTCTCGCTGCAATTCCCCCTCCCATCTGGCTCCGAATACGACTTTACAGTCGACCCGCTCTATGCATCTATCAATCCCGCCGAGTCCAAGGTCTCAGTCAAGGGCACCAAGATTGAACTCACTCTGCGAAAGCAGACAGCCGGCCAGAAATGGAGTGCCCTCGAAGGCTCAGCCACCAAGACCACTGAGATCACCGACCGCCCAGCCGCGCAAACGGCGCCAGCTGCCTCGGGCCCTTCATATCCCACCTCGTCACGCAGCGGCACCAAGGACTGGGACAAGGTCGCATCCTCGCTCACCGAGAAGAAGCCAAAGGACAAGTCAGGAGATGATGGAACTGCAGCCGATGTATCGGATGACGAAGGTGGCGATGCTGTAGACGGATTTTTCAAGAAGCTGTATGCTGGCGCTGACCCGGAGACGCGCCGAGCTATGATTAAAAGCTACACTGAAAGCCAGGGAACATCGCTGAGCACGAACTGGTCTGAGGTTGCGAAGGGGAAGGTGGAAGCTCACCCTGAATGATTTGCCACTTGCTATTTTCTGTCTTCTCATTGCTAAGGCGCATGTAGCGAGGTGTTTCTCAGGTATCGCAACTTTTCGTTGTGAAATTTGTCTCAATTTACTGGCTGTTCCCAAGCTGTTTTGTTAATCTTGGTTCTGAAAAACAAGTAGTTCAATCCGTAGACTCCAATCACTTGGATATAAAACTCCCCTTCCAAACACCAACCAATAGATATTCAAATCCAAAACCCAGCCTCATCCTCCCCCAAACCTGCTCCCACTCTTTATCGACACACCACAGTCGATCCATCCCCAGAAAGCGGAATAGGAGACCCACCTCCATCCTGCCGACGCATAGTAGCCATGACAGTACCACCCACCAACTTCAGACAAAACCTCGCACCTTCTTCACTAGGCCGATTCATGAAAGACTCCCCGCTATACACCTGCTCAAAGATGCGAGCAGGCCGGATTCTCTGCATAACGCTCCTAATACTCCGTCCTTTAACGGCGTTTTCCTGCTCGTACACGGTCCACACATTCACGGGCTTGTTGCCAAAGAGCGCTTTGTTCCCATTGTAGAGTGCACACAAACTCTCTGCAGCAGGGATCTCCCTAAACCCATCTGAGGAAGTGTTAGAGAGCAAAAAGCCTTCCTCGTTGGCAATTGCAGTCACAGAGCATGTGCCGAGTTTATCTGCCTCGACGCCGTTGAAATCGGACCATTTGCCCATTCGCGTGGTATCAGCATGCACTACCTGCGGATGCTTCATAGAGGCGGGCATGGAGATTGGTTGTTTGGGTAAAATAGTAGATAGTTTGTCTTGGATGATGTAATTGTGGATGGTCCTTTTGCCGACGCTTGCTTTGTATGTTGAATTGATATCTGGATAGTTCTGTTTCTCTCCATGGTGCGATTGAATTGGAGTATATATACACATTTCTGTCTTCGCTGAGAAAGACGTCCGGAAAGTTGGGCTGGAATCAAGGCTGCAAAGAATGAAACCCAACTCAGCAGCACCCTTCCATATAGATATATTGTTGGCTGGGAAGCTTCCACGGATCTTATAGACTGGGTATCGCGGTATGGGATCGTCGAGAGCACTAAGATGAATAGATTTAGTTTACAAGTTAGCTTAGGGCTGCAAGTAAGTATACTCGAAGCGAAAATGATAGGCTGTGGGCGCTTAGGGCTTGGACTTAGTCTGGGTTTTATTCGCTCTCCGTGAAACTTATATTGGCGCCGGCCCCCCTACACCTCACAATGACTTCTGTTTTGCACCGATCCCCGTCCTGCAAGCCTTGTTTCTGCACTAGTATGGTTATTCTAGTCGGTTAATATCGAGCACTCGCTTCTCGATAGGGATGGTTGGCTCAGGGGTAAAGTTACATCTCCGTTAGCCACCTCGAGCTAATATAACCCCCTCAAGCGCAAATCGACGCTAGTAGCATGAACCCGCCACAAGACTATCGGGAGTGTTTCAGGCCTAAGAGTCTGACCATTTACCTATATGGTCGATAGTTCATGCCTGCAACGACCCAATCGCGTATCTGCAATCCCTGCCCCATGACAAACATATCCTCCCGTCTAGCGAGCTCATCCTGCAAATCAAGATTGACCGCCAATTTAACCCTGATCATACCCCAGGCGAATGCGTGGCTCGGTTGGTTCGCATTTGGTCAGCTGCTCGGGGCTCAGGGGATATCCCTGGAGAAATTAACCGACACTACTTTGGTTACAACTTTAGCGATGAGATATTATCGACCGCGTCTAGGATCATCGGAGCTTGCTGGTACTGCTGAGCCCCAGTCGTTCCCATATATCCATGTACAAGTCCTACTGGCGGCGTGTCCAGCGCAGCATCTCAAGCCGATCTGACTGGACTTGCAGCTCTTTTACCCGTCTATGTTACAATTTTTCAGGGAGAGAGATTTCCTGTACTAATATTGACACAACGATTGGATATCAGATCAGAACCTCATGGGTGGCAGCCAGGTCATCAACAACGCATTGGGGAGTAGCGTGTCACATCCAGGCAAAGGAACCAGCAAACTGAGCTTTGTTCTATTTAGTCCAAGTAATTGCACCTTGCGAGGCTTATCCCCTGGTTGAAAGACAAGCATGGGGTCGTTTTGGCAGTTTTCTCTAGAAACATGCATTACCCCCTTGTTTGCTTTTGATAATGGCTCTGACCTGTTCTCCTGAGGTGTCATCAAATGGCCATATGCTCATTTTAGGCATTTGACTCAAGTTGTCAGATTGTTAAGTTTATGTGGTAGTAGAGTCTTACTATTAATAACTATGACCTTTCTCCGAGAAGTCTTCTCCCCAAAAGGATTGTCTTAGTTCTATAATACATAATTTCTAGATATTGTAGTCTCTGGTTTATAATTTGGACCAAGTATTAGTATCGAATTGGTTTTCTTTTCTTTCTAGAGAATGATACAAAATGGCAGGCTAAAGCCGTGACGATCTTTTGTGATGACCCAGACCCGCTTCCCAGAAAAAAAGAGCTCTCCACTTAATACGAGCTTGGCAGATACATAATTTTAAATAAATTACATCTACGGAGTACATCAATGCACATATTCACTGTGAAATCTCCGCAAATGGTCTCGCATCCCACCGAACCCTCCTCAAATGTCTCTTAGGGTCCCGCACCTCGTTCCTAGCATGGAGCCACTGACGATTCCCAACCAAGACAATCGATCCACTCGGCAACAATTGCGGCGAAAGTGAGATCGTCTGCGATCTGGCCTCAGAGCTCTGCAACATACTTTTCATCTCCTCGAACGCCTGGCCCGCGCTAGTCGTCAGCGGCGTAATGATATCTTCACGGAAACGCAACCCATCACCGGCATTGGTCAAAATGCCACCAACAATGGATCGCTGATCATCTCTCTTGACGAACTCCGGTGGGACCGTAATGCGGTATTCGGCTCTTGACAGATACTTTCGTGCCGTGGCGGAGAGCAGCGGCAGGAGGCGGGCTAGCCCCATTACGGAGAGTGTACCGCCTCCGTAGGTATCGGCGTGGAGGACTTGGAGGGCGAAGAAGCTAGGTGGACATGCTTCGTAGCTGCAGTCCGTGTGCCAGGGAAATGATTCGGATGTTTCAGACCGTGCTGGGGGAGTGTCCGGTGGGGATGATGGAGGGTTTGGATTTGAGGATGATTTTGCTATCGTTGTCGTAGGCTGGGGTCGTACATCCCAGAACCAGCCTCGTGTTGAGCTATGGGTGATGGGTAAGCCATGGTTGTGGCTCTTGTTCAGGGATGAGATCAGTTGTGTGAGATATGTGCTCGATTCGTCAGGGAATTTCAAGTTTATCTTGAGTAGTCCTTGGCTCTGAAGTATCTCATGAACCTGATGGATATGTCTGGTGTCATGAGAGCTTTCCAGTTCATTGGCGTCGAGTTGTTGAACTTGGGTTGAGAGGCCTGCTGATAGGTGTCAGACTGGTCAAATGGCGAGGGAAAGTAGAGTAAGACCTTTGGTTTGCATACAAGATGCTATCGGAGTATGCCATAATGGTGTTTTGAGAGAGCAAGGAAAGGATCTATATGTGAGTCGTGGCATTTATCCTGTTGAAGCTGCTTAAATGTACAACGTAAGATATCAACCAGTTTCTTGTCGGGCTCATAAGGACTTGGGCTGAATGACAGCTTCACTAGGATCTAGGATCTAATGGCGGCTGGTATTTAATATTTTGCTGCCCTTTCGCTCTGTTCTACGTGAAAGTGTTGTAATCTACTAAATCATTCCTACCCAAGCACGCTAGAAAAATACTGTAGAAATACAGAGTACAGAGTCACCGTGTTACCGATCGATCGTGTGGGCCACCACATTTGCGCTAATGAAAACAAATAAAAGATAAAAAGTGGAGCTGGGGTTTAATACGGTCTATGTTGTATGATATGGTATGAATGGATTGATATTGAGATCGTGTCGAGTCCTTAGTGGTAGAAATAACTCATAAACATTCACACAGCAATCCCACACTGCTTTTTCCCTTTGAATAATCAATTCTCATTTCCACCATGGCTACCTACTATTCCCTTCGAGATATTCTATCGGTGGCTTCAAAACATCCATTCTATAACCGGGAGATCGAATACCCGCCCAATGCGGAAGAAATAGCCCAGCTTCTCGACCAAACTGCGACAACCCCAGATCTTCGCGCTCTCCCTCTTACACACAAAGAAGACCTGTACGGAAAACCTCTCAGTGATGTTCATGACTCATAATTCAAAATAACTATGGGAGTTAACCCCATTTCTTCTGAACCATAGCTATACGGCAATCCAACGCCTGTCTACCGATGACTCCCCCCATAATGACTTCCGACGAAGCGCGTACAGCAGTATCACCGGCGGAGGATCTGGGGGTGTGCCTATGCTGTTTCTGACCGACTCAGTCGAGAATCGCAAACATCGATACACCGCTGGACAATTTCTAAAAACATGCGGACTGGTAAACCCTCGTGACTGGATCTTGACAGTGCACGTCACAGGCGGCTTTTATCGGTCACTCGATCTTTTGTCGGAGATGTTCGAGAATGCAGGCGGAAGTGTTCTTGCCGCGGGACACACAACGCCCGTTGCGAATGTCGTGGACGCGTTGATCAAATACCGAGTGAACGTCCTCAGTGGCGGAAGTAGTCAGATCTTGCAGATTCTGAACTATATTGCTTCAACTACACCAGAAGAACAGAAGGCACTGAAAATCGACAAGATCATCTATACCTCAGAAGCTTTGGGTCGGCCACAGCGAGATTTCATTCGGTCCGTCCTCGGTCCAGTCAGTATCTGTTCGGTGCTCGGGAGTTCCGAGGCTGGACCTTGGGCAGTTGCCAATCTAGCGCTCACCGGCGAACCAGAGGACGATGCTGTTGAATTCATCTACGATTCCCGTACCATGATCGTCGAGATTCTTCCTCTGGAGGCCACAGAGACGCCGAGAGGGTCCATGCAAGATGTGCCAGAGCTACCGGAAGGGAGTGTTGGTGTGATCGTGCAGACTTCCCTGCAGCGCCTTAGAAACCCGCTCGTGCGCTATATCACCGGTGATGTAGGATCACTGCATCCCCTGCCTGCTGCAGCGAAGGCCGCTCTCCCAGCGGATGAAGCTCGGCACTTGCGAATGATCCGGGTGCGGGGACGTGATAAGCGGTTCAGCTTCAAGTGGGTCGGGAGGTATTTTGAATTCCATACCATCAGAGAGATTATGCGTACGCCTGAATGGGGAGTCTTGCAGTGGCAGCTCATATTGAGAGTGGAAGAGCCGTCTCCGGAGGTGATTTTGGAGGTTCGTGTGTTGCTTTCTACTGCTGAGACAGTTGACCAGATCCCTCAAGATGAGTTGATCGAAAAGCTGAAGACACTCTTTGTCGTTGTGGGGAATAGTGAACACCTGTTCAAAGTAACCTTCGTAGGGGATGATCAAGGGTTTGTGCTGAGCACCACGGGGAATAAAGTAATGAGCTTTGTGGACAGGAGTGTTCCAGCTTAAGTGGATGATTACTATTTTGAGTTAGATATATGTACAACATAAGTTTAAGAGTGCAGTGCATATGCATATGCAAAAGTCCACATAGTACAGAATACATATGCAGCCCTACCTAGGTTGGGCTTGTATCATGACAAAACAGTACACTATCAAACCAAAAGCACTTCAATTACAGCTTCCATAAGTGGAGATTTCCACTTAGTGCTAACTGCCGGTAATATTATTCTTGTCTTTATATGTCAACATTCCCTTCCCTTTTCACCACTGACCATATTTCAACATGAATCACCAAATTTACGAATCAATCTACCCCGACTTCCATGTTCCACCCCATCTATCCTTGCCCCAATTACTGCAAAAATACAATCCTGAAGATGTACCTCACAACAAAGTGATTCTGGAAGACCTATCGCCTGGAGGCAGACAGGTGACCTATGGCCAACTACGCAACGAAGCCGCTACGACGGCCTCGTATTTTACAACAGTTCTGGGGCTAAAGGCCGGTGACACCGTCGCGATTTATGCGTCAAATTCTGTCCAGTATCCGATTATTGCGCATTCGGTGATGTGGTTTGGGGGTGTGATCGCGTGAGTTCTTTTCCGTGTTCCTTCTTGTATTGTATTATATCTGACAGGAGAACAGTGGGATGAATGCTTTAACATCAGTTCAGGACTTGATTCATTATCTGACAATTTCCCGACCAATGCTTGTGGTTACTGACGGCCAATTGCTGGCCAAGATGGAAGAAGCCGTATCCAGAGTCAAGGATGTCAATCCAATGATCATGGATATTGATGAGCTGTTTGCAGACATGGTAACTTTGATTTACCAAGACTTGGAGTTGATGGGATACAGGCTAACCATATAGTCTCAAAAATGTCTCTCCCCATGTCTGCCTTTCGATTTGTCTGGAAGGGACAATCGAGAATACCCGGCATCGATCATGTTCAGCTCCGGTACAAGTGGTAAACCCAAGGCCGTGCTTTGGAGCCACTATAGTATCATTGCACATGTCCTTCAACCTCGAGCTACTCTTCCGGAGCAAAATAATAGCCTCGAAAGAGAGGTTGTATACGCACCTTGTGAGTACTTCTTGCTTCCCCTAAATTTTCAATAAGTCTGATGCAAGTTGTAAAGTGTGCCACATGCTAGGCTTCCTGGGGGCAGTCCTTAAGCCCGCATTTCTAGGCTGCTATGTTGTGGTCTTGAAACGATTCGATTATGAAGCATACATTCAAGCCTGTGCGAAAGCCCAAGTTACGATCATGAAAATGATTCCCGCGACAGCGGTGGCTATTGCGAAAGACCAGAGTGTTGAGAAACATGACCTCGGCAGTGTCAGACATATTTTGTGTACTGGAGCAACGCTTCAGGAGCAAATTGTGAGGAGACTTCAAGAGATTATGAAGGGTTGCGCGATCATTCAAAGCTATGGGTGGGTTCCCATTCTGATCTACCTCGACTAATCCTGGGCTTCAACCTGCCACAAAACTTGCTGATATTGGTTATAGTCTGAGCGAAATCGGTGTGTCGATATTGAAAGGATCACGCTCATTGGAAAAGTCTGGGAGTGTGGGAAGATTGTTTCCCGGCAAGTAAGTTATATCACGCGAGCTTCCAACACTTTAATCGACTGACTAAATTCAGCAAACTGCGCATCGTGGATGAAAAGCTCCAGGATGTCCCAATAGGGCAAGCGGGAGAAGCACTTATCCAAGGTCCAACCTTATTCATGTTGGTTTAAACTCTGCCCGTTATCTCAACATTTCCAGTATATCTACTTACGGGGACCAAAAAGGGGATACAAGAACAACCCAGCCAGCACTCGAGAGGCTTTCCACAAGGGGTGGTTCCGAACCGGAGATGTTCTCAAGATGGATTCAGATGGGTTCCTCTGGTTCCAGGACCGCCAAAAGGAGATTATCAAGTACAAGGGGTATGTGGAGAGGTCTTTTCAAATGACCGGTTTTGATCAATATTGATGCGCCACAATATAGGAACATGGTGGCCCCAGCCGAGCTCGAAAACCTCCTTTCAGCCCACCCAGCCGTCCTCGAAGCTGCTGTCTGCGGCTACTTCGATGAATCACAACAGACCGATATTCCTGTCGGATATGTCAAGCTGCGAGATTCCGTGGCTGTCAGTGATCGTGCCCGTTTGCTGGGAGAAATCAAGAAAAGCGTCGACGATTCTGTATCGTCTCCGAAGAAGCTTCGAGGTGGACTGTTCTATCTGGCGGAGTTGCCCAAAAATGCGACGGGGAAGATCATGAGAGCGCTTCTTCCGGCTCGAGTGGAGTCTGATAAGAAGAAGAGGTGGAGTAAATTGTGAGTGTCGATATACATCGTAGCAATACGGTCGTATACTCCGTACAATACACAAGACAATAAAAACTCTGCGAACATTTCCTCCACTTTAACAGGAGCGGTCTGAGGATCGTCGTTCTCAATTGAGCTTTTCTCCGATGTGAATGTGAATACAGTGGATGTCGTGTAATAAATAATGTAATAAACTGGTATATCGTATTGTAATTATGTTTATCTCCGCTATGGCCCCGATTTATATTTCTACAGCAATCGGCGATCCCTGTAATGCAATGCAATACAATTCAATACCTACATACATGTATGTACAATATAGTTAGTTAGTTAACTATTTACATGTACTTGTATCCTCCCAATGTCATACTCGCGCTTTCATTAACAACTTTGAAGTTACTAACCCCAGCTTTCACGATGTCTCTCAAATCCCCAGATACCAGAACAGGCATACCCGAGCCAACTCCCAGCGCAAGGTGAGATGATGATATTTTGATGGCATTGTTCTTCCCTACGGAAAAAGCACACTCTAACCCATGATTCTCTAGCGTCATTCTTATCTCATCCACAAATGAAGTTCTTCTTCTCCAGCGTACCAAAACCTCCTCATCCTTCCCATCAGCCCATGTATTTCCAGGAGGGAATCTCGCATTACAAGATGGAGACTGCCCACCCGCAGGGGATCCAGAACGACACGAAGATTCCATCTGTTACCGAAGAGCCGCACTGAGAGAGCTCTTCGAAGAAAGCGGAGTTCTACTAGCCCGAGATACAAGCTCTGGAGCGATACTCACGATTGACGAGAAAAGAAGGGAAGAAGGAAGAAAAGCCATCCACAGTCAAGCCATTACGTTCTTGGAATGGCTAGCGAGGGAGAATAATGGCCGTGCCGCGGAGCCGGATACAGGTTTGTCCTGCCCTCTCTTTTGCGTGTCAATCCATCCATCGTGATGGTTATACTCACCCAACTCGATAGAAAACCTGATCCCTTTCACGCGCTGGATTACACCGGCCGGCGTCCCTCATCGCTATACAACGCAGATGTATCTCTACTTCTTACCTATACCCCGTGACCACGAGCAAGGTCTAGACACAGAGGTGGTCATTCATCCTTGCCATGATGGTGGAATTGAGATCACCGATGCTCGGTTCCTGGAATGCTCTGCCTGGCTCCGGAAGGCTCAGGCGGGACAAGCGAAACTTCTTCCGCCTCAATATTTTCTCCTGAGTTTAGCTTCGCAATTTCTCGATACATGGACCCGCAGTCGTCAATCGCTCGTTGCCCTTAGGCGACAGCGACGGAAATTCCTCCAATTCGTGAACGCGGGGTCTCTACCTTGGACGCAAATCTGCATTTCGCCAACAATTGATAGAATCTTATCTGATGGGCGGGCCTTGGTTAGGCTGGATAGTCCTGGTCCTGAGTTGGAGGGATCTGGTCGGAGCGGAGTGAAGGACGTTGTTATGTTAGCCAGGTTTGAAAAGGAGGGTCCGAGGGATATAGAGATTATTAAGGAAGACTTGACTAAGAAGAGCAAGTTATAAATTGGAATTATGCAAGATTTTTAATTTTCATTGCGAACACCTGTATACATTGGACTCATACAACTGAAACCATCCATGCACCCCCATGGCTGATAGCACATACCCTGCCCGGCCCACTGCGCCAGCATCCTACCCCGATATATTTTCCGTGGATAGACATGTATGTCCCCACCAGACGGTTGCGCTGTACGCCTTCCTCTTCCCTCAACAGGACCTCATAGAGTGGTTGCTGAACCTGACGCTGTACCACATAGGTCGTTCCACTCGGTGTCAACGCTGCGCTTTCAAGTCCTTTGAGCTTTTCATTCCATTCTTCGGTTGATAGCTCATCCCCAAAGAGGATTCCTTCGCCCTTGCCACCTCGGACAGGCTTGAGGATATAATTGTCTTTGTAGGACGGTGACTCCCGACATTTCCGGACAAAGGCCTGGACTTCCGGTGACCCCGGGAGAATTGTATGTACAATACCACGGCGGAGGACCTCGGCTTGACGCTCAGTAAGAATACGATACCTGTGAACCAACGAGCCCAGTTCTTGGTGAACAATTCCGAGCAATCTCTTGTCGTGCACCAGGAAAACGGATCTGAGGTCGTTGAAACAGCGCGAGGACAGATGCTGAAGCATTTCGGGCGAGAGCGCTTGGAGTTCGTGCTGATGGAGTTCGAGTCCTACTTGGTGGATTTCTTCCAGAACCTCTCCTGTTGCATGATCGGTGAAGGTTGACGATTTCGGATGCTTTGTATTTGCGGACAATGCTTGTTCAATATCAGTCACGCAGCAGATCTTGTATCCCGTTTTGGAGTCTGGGCTCGGCACCAGTCGAAGATCCTGGGGTGAAATGAATCTAGGTACAACTCCTGTTCGTCGCTCTGCACACTCGAGGAACATGAGGATATCGTGGCCTCCTTCGCTGCCTTTGAGAAGGTGTAAGGGAAGCTCGGGGTCAAATAATGTGAACAGACCATCTATGATCTATATCTCCGCCGTTAGTACATACTCCCCACATATAATAAACTAAGTAGCAGAAAGGTGCTTGCTCACATCATCGCTCTCCGCTGCTCCCTTGAATCCTTTCCGTTCAGCTCCAAGGTCCAGTAGACCTTGCTGGCCGTATGCAGTAATCAAGAATCCATTGAAAGCAAATCGTGCATTGATTTCACAAACACGAAACTGCTCTTTTGATGATCCAGGTCCATCAGTCGTAGTTACCTCTTCAATCAGGAAATCTGGTCTCCATGAACCTTGGTGATTATCAAATGGACGAGAGGCTGTATCATGACCATCGATCCACTGCAATTGGTAAGCTTTACACGTTATACTCCTCACTCTGTCCCTGGGCTCTTTAGCCCCGTGAATTACTTACCTGTAAAAGAAGTTCCTCGTGCGCTTCTAATGGCATCCTTTTCGAAAACTCCGCCTCTTCGTCCCTCCACCATCTTTCAATAATATTGTTAATAGCAAGCACCAGCGCTTCATGTAGTTCCCTCAACTCGTCCGTGTGTTCCACATTCATTCGCATCGGATACGGGCAACTCTGGAGATGAGCATCATGTGGCCAGCCTAGTCGAGGACAAGGCGCTTCGAGACTCTTGATGTTCACTTCTCGTTCTTGTTGTCGTGTGGCTTTCTCTGCCTGTGCCGGAAAAACAAAATTGTCGTTTTCTGGTTTGTTTGTACTCAGTGCAAGAGATATTTGACAAATTCGGTTCTGGACTGGAGTCATTTTGCTTTCTCTGGGACACGTTTTAATATTAAGCAAGAAAGCCGGGGTAGGTAGCGCCAGGAGAGTCATTATTCCAGAAAAGAAGCCGAGGGAGTTCGACCGTATATCTTTTTACATACCACAACGTATAAAATACATGGTAAAGAAGAGTGGAGGCTGATATCCATTGTATCCACTTGGTTAGCTGCTCTGTACGGAGTACGGAGAACCGTAAACACTCTGAAAAGTTCGTATGAGCTAGCAGTCATTAGCGCCATCTGGCAGATCTTGTAGATTGGATCTGCCGATCTTAGCATTCTGTCGTCCATTGACTAGAAACAAGGCGTTTATGTTGTACTCGGTAGGTACAAACGATGTCGACGAAACGAGATAGGAAAAGCGGTTGATAGAACTTGAACTTTATTTCCCGTTAGTGTAATTAATGCTGTATCTTTTCATGCGCTTACCATTATTTACCGCTGTGGAATAGGAGCATTGCTAGTCCAGAAAAGGCAGGAGCTGGAGGTCTACAACATTCAAATATTGTATTCCAAGCTGAACTATTTCAAACATTGATATATCTGCAATAAATCACATCTAACTTTTGAGCATCTACTCTTCCTCCTCCTCATCATCCTTGCCATCGTGGTATAGGAAGAATTGTGTAAAGATCGCCATATCCAGCAGCAGCGTGCCAGCACTGCCGACCAGCCACGACAAGTTCACCAGAACATACCGACCATACAGCGCAGCCGCCTCACCAGGACGACAGTGCGCATGGTGACGGTGGTGCCCCATGACCTCCTCGGGAGACCCACCATGGCAAATAGGTGAGTATGCCAGAATCGAGAGCACGTAAGTCAGGTTCCCGATGCAAGCAAAGAGGAAGAACAGCAGGGAGACACCATCCGTTGATTTGCGGCGGTAGTTCAAGAGAAGCTGGGGCAGACGTGACCCAAGATACAAAACTGCACAGAAATAGCCGAATACTTGACCCAGAACATCCATCGTCAGAGGTTCCGGGTCTGCTGATGATGACTTTGCTGCCGGACTGACGAACCAGCCCATCACACCTGCAGCACAGACTAGAGCGACGACGGTGAGGTTGAAAAGGACGGATTGGAGGGCGGAGATGCGGCGACGGCGGGCGCGTTGAGCATGGCGGCGCGCGGAATCAGATGTGGGTTCGACGAAGGGCGTTGCGGGTGATAGATGGGTGGCGTCCACTGATGGGTGGAAGATATCATGGTAAGAAGCTGCCGAGTGTCGTCTGCCAGAGGAGAGTGGGCGTGTGCGGTCTTCGGGTTGCTGTCCAGTTATATGTATAGTTGGGTCTTGGATTTGGACCTGGCCGTGGTGCTTCGGGATGAGGGCTGATCTCTCTGTTGGTGCTGGCTGATCGGCGCTATTCCGCTCCTCATCGGAAGTACCGCTGGCTGAAAAAAGGTCCGGTGTGGACGAGGGGGATAGCTCCTCCTTGAAGTTGAACCCCCGGTAGTAAAAGCACTGTCCCAGTAGAACAATATCTGCTAAAGTGTAGTACACTGCAAGGATGATCATGGTAGGGAGCACGCCTTGTAGGACTGCGCCTAAGATGTTGAACACATCGCCAGCCAACCAGATGATGAGGAAGATGAGAGAGAGGCCATCTGCAGAGCCACGTTGGAAGTTCTCGATGATTTGAGGGGAGAAAACGACGACCCAACAGGCAATAGAAATCGATCTAGATTGGTCAGTATTGGATTAAAAAAAAAAAAAAAGCAGAGATCGCCGGGCCAAGTAGATCTAGATCCGCTGTCGCACATGCATGCATGATATGAGCATGACAGCTAATGGAAAAACACCAAAGACCGAAAAAGAAAAAAGGTGCAGCTAGTCGAACTTACCCGCAAATGCCGCTAAGGGCTTCAATGTTAAAATTAGCCGCCTGCGAAGGGAACATCTTGTAGGCGAACCGTGCGATTCAGAGTCGAGTATCCTCAATAGAGGTTCGGGAAGCGAAACAATGTAAAAATAGAATTCCAATATAAACAGATGTAATCGCTGGAAGACCCAACTCTGTGCAAGTTGAAAAAAAGGCAATTGGAGATGAAGAGAATTGGAGAAATCCACAGATGGGAATGATGGAGAGCCGTGGATGACGTCGTGGTCACGTGCACTGGAAGTATAAGGCACTTCAGGTACGGATTTGCTTTCATTTCCTTTGATTTCCAGCAATTTATTAAGCTATGACTCAAAATAAGACGGCATTGTCTTAATCACGGGATACCAAAATCCAGGGAGCTAATAATTTCCCCTCATAAGCAACTCCAACTTGTCCTGGGCATCACAAAATATGTTTATAGCCTTGGTTTCTGTCAGCGAAGTTTAAAAATCGATCAATGTATGTACTTACTTCGGTCAGCTTGATCTGACTAGCACCACCCAGGTCTCGGGCAAATGTAATCTGGTAGGTTCCAGGATCGTTGATGAAAGAGACACCCGGCGCCGGGATTGGAAGTGTCGGCTCGATATCAAACAGCGACTTAACATTACCTGCATAAGGCTGAGTCAATTGTGTCAACAGACCTGGCGAAATAGTGAGGTGGTCCACCCCAGCTAGCAAGAAGATCTCCTCAACGGAAGTCAAGCTAGCAGGGAGGACTGTGGTACGCGAATTGATGGACTTGTAGTATTTCTGAATGGCTGCGCAAAGAGGGAGCAATTTCGCATTGTCCACGAAACTGAAATGGGAGAAGTGTTAGATAGGATTTCGAAGAAGAATTTGGTACCTACCCTTCTTGCACATGCACCTTCAGTTCGTTCACATAGGGCGCGATGTAAGTACAGTTGACCTCGGCTGCGAGTACAGCTTGAGGCATACTGAACAGAGTGGTCGCTAAAGTATGCACACCGGCTAATTCGAGGGTGCGGCAGGCCATCATTCCTTCCCACGTACTCGGAATCTTGATGCAAATGCGAGTGGTGTCGAAGTCGGGCTGGACATGCTGGAACAGTTGCACGATTCCTATAAACGATATGATCAGCCCTCAGGTTTAATTGAGCAAGAACAATGTCAATGAGAAAGGTCAAACATACGGAGTGCATTGAGGATAATCTTCTCTGTTGAGTACGAATAGTAAGGATTAACCTGTACATGGACACGTCGACGAATGTGTTTTGCCATTTCTACGGCCAATTTAACCATCTATTAATCGATATTAGTCGGCTTCTTCATCAAACCCATCAATTCTATAATCAAAACAACAACTCACCGCAATCTCGACAGCCAATTCGTCCATATCCATGGACCACTTCGGTTCCAGCACCGCCGCCTCTGCCCGCGATGACTCGAGGATTCTAAACCGCTCTGTCTTACGAAGCTCGCCGAGTGCAATAGCCTGGGCGGTTAATGTCATGGCCCAATTATGTACCATGTTCATGTACATACTTGGTTGGAAGTACAGTCCTGGAATGGGCCCAGAGTTTTGGCAACTAAAATTAGTCAGTTATTTGCAAATGATAATATAATAATCGCTACTATGTAGAAGGGCCAGTCTACTCACCTTCGTCGTCCATGGTATCACAGTCGATCTGCGTGCGCGAACGCATATAGTCGAGACCTGTCTGTACTGCCATCTTGAGTAGAATAGTAAATCTGAGATGGGTAATCTAGTAAACGAGCAAAGATAGGGTCTGATAAGAGAGAAGAGAAAAACAAAAGGAGGGAAATGGGCATCCCGCTTTCTCCAATTCCATAATGCATTTAATGGGGGGTTTTCCGGGGTACTATACTCCGCAGGTGGCACGGATTTGTCCGCCCGTGTGATTTGATAATGGGCCATCGTACTTCTGAATATGAACTCTGTATCTAGCACTGCATGTGTATTGTGGTGCAACATGGGGGGAATACTCTAGGAAGTATCACAGCAGTATGAGATAGAGCTAGGTAGGCCGGGTCAAGTTTACGGCGTGTTATAACAATTAATACATGTAGAACTCTAGCAGATCGAGAGGGGTAAATGGTACTAAAGTATCCCAATCAGGCAATATTCGCATTGTATAGGATAAGAAGGTAAGGATATATGCCGAGAGAAACGCCTCGCGATGCAAAGTGGAAACCCACCCCCAAAGATACCCGATACCTATTAAACTAGATATTTAAAAATCAAATGCTCTCTTTTGTTCTTGGCTTATTTGGCCTGAGTAGCCAACCACGCCTGGTGTGCCTTCTTCTGGCGCTCCCAGTCTTTGCGGAGCTTCTTAGCTCGGCTCTTGGTGATCTCCTCACCGGCAGTGTCGCGAGTAGGGATGCCTTCCTCGTCCCAGGCGCTGTACTCGTTGGTACGGAACATCTCCAGGTGGCTCAGCTTGCCCTTCTCCGCCTTCTTGAGAGCTTCCTGCTCCTGCTTTAGCTTTTCAGCCTGCTTTTGGAGAGCCCGGGTTTCCTTCTCTTCCCGCGCCTTAAGCATCTCCTGGGTGACTGGCCGGACCAGGGCAGGTTGGTTCTCCCGATCTTCGAGGGCGATACCAACATCGAAAAGGTCGATGTCTCGCACACGGTCGCACAGGGAAAGAATATCCTTGCCAATAGAATCGGATGACTCCAAAGCCACCACCTTGGTACGGAAGTTCGTGAAAAGCTCAGCGTATGGCTTGGCAGATTCGGAGGCCTCTTGTGGTGCCGATGCTTGGGCAACTGCCGCCTCGATATCCTTGGCGGAGATTCCAGCCTTGGACCGCGCGGCTTCGCGGAGAGTGTCACGCATAGCGGACAGAGGGTACAGGTAGGGCTTGGCCTCATCGGGGATATCAATACCAGACCAGCCGATTTCAGTGCTGTCAGCCGAGGCGGTACCGTTAAGACCGAAAATGTTCACAATAGAGGTAACCCATTTAGCTGCAGCCTGAACGTCCTCAGAGGGCACGGTGGCCTTGTCGGCAATGTTGAACTTGGAGATAAGTTCCGAGATCGACGCCATGACAGCGGGAGTGTTAAATGAATCACAGAGCTGGTCGTTGACCGCCTTCTTGGCCGCTTCCAGATCAGCAGCAAAGGTGGTGTCGGTGCCTGACGACTGGAGAGCCGCAGGATCCTTCACCTTGAGGAAAAAGTTGTTCACCTTCTCCTCCCATGAGCTGCCTGTGTTTACCAGATCCTCTGTGATCTCAACACCTTCCTTCCAGCCACCCAGGAGGAAAACAATGCGCAAACTTCTCGGCGTCCAGTCTTTGCGATCAAGCGCCTCTCGGATGGTAGTGAAGTTCTTCAATGACTTGGACATCTTGGACCCTTGAATGGAGAGATGGCCCATGTGAAGGAAGTAGTTAACCCATTGGTCATGCTTGTGGTCACCGTGCCAGTACGCCTCACTCTGGGCCAGCTCATTGTCGTGGTGTGGGAAGGCAAGATCAATACCACCAGAGTGGATATCCATCTGGTTGCCCAGCCGGGCGGATGCCATGGCTGAGCATTCGATGTGCCAACCAGGGCGGCCCTTGCCCCAGGTACTGGACCAGCTTGGCTCGCCTGGCTTAGACGACTTCCAGAGAGCGAAATCGGAAGCACCGCGCTTCTCTGTCGTTTTGCTGGCCAAAGAGCCTTCGCCCTCTGCAGCCAATTTGTTGTCTGATCGACTCCATGGCTCAAGCCGAGCGTACGGGTGGCCCGCAGCTTCGAAGGCATTGATATCAAAGTACACCGATCCGTCCTTTGTAGCATATCCGAAGTTATTCTTAACAATGCGATCCACAAAGGCCGCAATCTCATCGCCATATTCCGTCACGCGAGTCAACTCGGTGGGATCAAGAACATTCAGGTCCCGCATATCCTTAGTGAACCGGTCCTCATATCTCTTAGTCAACTTGGTGAAGATGCTGTGATCGTCCGCATCAACCAATGCACCCTTCAGGGCATCGAGGTAAGGCAAAATAAGATCCTGCGCGTTCGAATAGAACGACTCAGCAAAGAGAGCAGGGTCGGCACTCGAGCCATCGCGGGATTCCGCCTGCGCGAAGACTTTTGCTGCCGATGCAGCCGTCTTGATGTGCATCTTAACCTTAGCCTCATCATCACCTGCCTTCTCGTTTCCTGGCAAAGCTCCGCCGTTCAAGATAGTCGCATAGGTTTTTTCAACCTCATTCTGGTACCGCGACGGAGGGAGTTCGGAGTCGAGCAAGGGGAGGTTCTTCTTTAAATAGGCGACGAAAGCACTTTTGACGGTATCTAGGACCTCCGAGGTAATCGTAGGGTTAGTAGTGATGAATTCGTTAAACAGGTGTTGTTGTCTGGCGCGGAGGATGATCTATAGGAATGGTGAGTCACCGCGCTTGAGGCTGTATCCCTATACACAACTCTGAGTCATACCTTGTCATCCACGTCTGTAATGTTCATAACGAAGTTGACATCAAACTTGAAGTAGTCGCGCATAATTCGCCGAATAATATCGGTGCTGACATAGTTGCGGGCATGTCCAAGATGCGCATCGTCGTAAACAGTCGGTCCGCACGCGTACCACACAACTTTCTTGCCGGCAGGGTCGATCGGGACGAAGGGGGTCTTGGACTTGGTCAACGAGTTCCACACCTTCAATGGAGGCAGTTGCGCGTCCGGGCTAGAGGCCGGTTGCCGCCATGGCGGCTGCTGGCGAGAAGACATGGACCTGAAAGAAGTGGCCGACAATAAAAACCGCTGTTTGGACGGTGTAAAGAAAGAAAGGGAAAGGAGGGAGGGACGGGGGAGAGCATAAAGAGAGGAACAAATGCAATGGAGGGGGAGGGGCTCTTGTCAGGACCAGATCGACTCATCCATCAACTGCGGACTCGCTGTGATTGGCGGCAACTGGGGATGGGAGGACCTAGCCCTGAGCCCTAATTCGTGGCCCGATTAGGCAATGAGCATGACAGCCTTTTTTTTCTTTGCGGAGAGGCAATGACTTCCGGCCTCAAGTAAGGGATTGTCCATACTCATTACTCTCACTGATATCGCTCACCATGACGTCCCCATTCCTCACCCGGAACGCCCTGGCCGATACAGATAGCCTCGCCCTTTTGCAACTCCGTCGCGACCAGATCATTCCGACGATCCTCCGCGACCATGACGATGAGAACCAAGGATATTGGGAAGGCAAAGTCACCAACACCCGCTTCGGCTCATTCCCACACAGCACTCTAATCGGGCAACCCTGGGGCGCGCAAGTTGTCGCTTCAAAAGTCGACACAGGCTCGCGCGGTCGCAACAAACCCGCCAAGCGCAAAGCCGAAGAGCTTGATGCTGAGGCAACAACAACTGGCGCAGAGGAGGAGAACAATAAGCCATCATTAAGAGCCCCTGTCTCTGCGGAAAGCGGGTTCCTACACATCCTCGCCCCAACCCCCGAAGCGTGGACCATATCTCTTCCGCACCGCACGCAGGTCGTCTACACCCCAGACTACAGCTACATCCTCCACCGACTCCGTGCACGACCTGGGTGTACAGTGATTGAAGCCGGCTCCGGCAGCGGCTCGTTCACGCATGCCTCCGCTCGCGCCGTTTTCAACGGGTATCCCGGGACAGAAGAAGCAACCAAACGGCGACGACTAGGGAAGGTATGCAGTTTCGAATTCCACGAACAGCGCGCGGCGAAAGTGCGGCAGGAACTCCGAGACCACGGTCTCGACGGGGTGGTGGAGGCTACGCATCGCGACGTCTATGAGGACGGATTTTTGTTAGGCGATCCGAAAACCGGCAAATCACCCAAAGCCAACGCCATCTTCCTGGATCTTCCTGCTCCCTGGCTCGCGCTGAAACATCTTGTGCGCAATCCACCCGATGGACAGGAATCGGCTCTCGACCCTGAATCGCCCGCTTATCTGTGCACATTCTCGCCCTGTCTCGAGCAGGCAGAGCGTACAATCCGCACTATGCGCAAGCTGTCATGGCTCAATATTTCAATGGTGGAAGTCGCCCAGCGTCGGCTTGATGTCAAGCGGGATCGTATTGGGCTGGATACCGAGGGCGTGCGCGGAGCTACACTGTTTCCCAAGACCGTCGAGGAGGCAGTCGCAAAGCTTCGCAGTGATGAACAACGTGCCAAGCTCATGCGTGACAACCGAATGACCAAAGACCAGCCAGATTATCAGCCGTTTGTGAAAGAGACACCGTTCTATAAAGAGAAGACTGAAGTCCCTGTATATGCTCAGGGTCGCTTGACGCATCGGTCAGAGCCGGATCTCCGAACTCACACCTCATACTTGGTCTTTGCGATCCTGCCTCGGGCTTGGTCTGAAGAAGATGAGAAAAAGTGCCGGGATCAATGGCCATCCGCCAAGGTTAAGCCCGATAATGAGCCGAAGATGAGCAAGAAGCAAATGAAGAGAGAGGCTGCAATGGAACGGGCAAAGCTTCGCGACCAACGGAAGCAATCGGAAGAAAATACACAGCCAGAATCGGAAGATAAGCCTGAGGAAGTAAAGGTCGAAGGAGAGAGCACCGAGGCATGAGGATGAATAGATACCAGTGATTTGTTTCGTTAGCATAAAATTTCCATAACTAGATTGAGGTGTTGTTGTCTTTTAAGACAGTCTACATTGCACATATCATTTACTCAAAGGCACTTTAATTATTCGCATTGTACGCAATCCTGGAGCTAAGCTGGTGGTCGTCAACCCCTCCATTATCAAATCAGCATTTGCAAACTTGCAGAGACATGATTGCCTTGACGGGAATCATGAATTCATCGACAATCTGCTTGCATATTGACTTGAAACCATTCAATTGTATATTCAAAGCCGGCGCTAGATGGTTGACCTAAGAAGCAGCCGTCTTGCAGACTACCTGGGGACAAATGAGCGAACGTAGATCAACGACGATAAGCAAGCACCGAAGAATGAGTACTACAGAAACATAAAGAGGGCAACCGCTCATGTGGGAATTCTCTATAGGACAAAGATGCTATCAAGGCCGCCTTCTAGATGATGAAATCATGAAATGCAAGAAACGAAGTAATGACGATGGGTAGATGGTATCAACAGGGAAATAGGAATTCTCAGAGGTTATTTTCAGCTCTGAACTTATCCCACGCTTCATTCAGGGTTCCGAACACAGATCCAGCAATCATACGTTGCTCGGTGGTGGCAACGGTAGAGATCTGGTAGGGAACGTTAGTTGATAATCAGATAAAATGCAGCCAACATCACCCAAGAATGGAGTAAACATACCTTATCAGGGTGCACCTTAGAAATCCCCTTCATATACTGAATCTTAACCTTATTCGGCAGAACCAGCTCCGACAAGCCAATCTTCTTCCACCCAGCCTCAGGCCATAGTACAGAATCCAGGCTACCGAGCAACGCACGCAAATTGTCTTGCTTGCCATTTCTCCAGGTGGCAATTTTGGCATCGACGCTCTCCGAAAGAGCAAACTTCTCTTCGTCGGCGCGCTCAGCGGCCTGGTTGGCTTGCCGCAGACGGCTGACTGCTTCAAAGTCCGTCCCAGATGCCGACGTGGCCGTGAGATCGGACATAGCCGAAGCCTTCTTAGGCGGAGGTGAAGGCCTTTTCCTAGTAGGGGCTGCGGGCTTAGATTGAGGCTTGTTGATGCCAGCCGCTTTCTCGCAACGGTTTCGGCCTTGAATGCTCGTGCTGCCACCGTGACCAGACTCTACAGCCAGCTTCCACGCCTGCGCGGCATCACCCCAGCGCTCGAGTTGCTCTAGGGCTTCGGCTTTGCGCATCAAAGCCTTGCCGAAGAAGTCTTTCATGGGCTTGGGCGCTTCCCCGGTGCAGAGATCGATTACCTCCGATTCGCCCTTAGATGGGCCAATGAATGTTAGGATGATGTCGGCGTCGTCAATGGCGGACTTGGGTTCACCGATCTTCAGGGCTGTCATGGCACGATTGCTGCGGATGATAATGGTGATAGGATGCTTGTCAGGGAGCATGCCAAGGGCCGTGGAGAAGCTCTGGTGGGCTTCTGCGTAGTCGCCTCTTTTGTATGAGTCTGCGGCCTTTCCGCGGTGCCGGTGTGTCGATTGAAGCGCCTCTTGAGATACAGGTGGAATAGACCGTGTTGGGGCTTTGGGGCGTACGGGGATGGAAGCTGAGCGTGTCGGAGGCGTGGCAGTCTGGGCTGGGGTTGGAGGCTTTGAACGACTAGCTGAAGGAGCAGGAGAATCGAAGAGATCGACGTTAGGCTCAGAAGGCGGCGGTGGTGCCTGAGGTCGCTTGCGTCTCGCAGGACTAACATATGCTTGCGCCGTCTGTTCTTCAGCCGCAAACCGTGAAGGTCGAGATTTAGGATCTTGAGAGCTTGGTCGGGATGGACGCTGGAGGAAGTTGGCTTGCTGCCTTGGTTGGGCAGCACCAGGCGACTGCTGATTACGAGGAGGCTGGCTTCTCGGGTCGGGGTGGCTTTCACGAGGACGAGGAGGTTTCTGAGGCCGACCGTCTCCAGACTCAAGAAGAAGCGCTTCATTGGTGAAGTCCTGCTGCTCTCTTTGGGTTTGAGCCGGCTGATCACGACGACCTGGACGCTGCGGCTGCAAAGGAGGCTCGTCTTGTGGAGAGGATGCATCTCTCATCCAACGTGGTTGGCTGGAGTCATGCTCGGTGTTGAATTCGTTTACAGCTTGCTGGAATTTCTTGCTACCAGTCTTCCAAAGCGAGCCGGCTGATTTCAGCAGGTTATTACCAAATTGAGAGGCGACCTGCGCAGGGTCTTTGTCCGCTGATGCGGGACTCCGTCTATCCTGACGTGATCGAGATTCTGCCATTTCTTCTCTCATCCACGAAGGCCTGTCGCGGTTACGACTATCGCTCCTTTCAGTGCGATCGGCAGAATGAGTTGCACCGGGCTGTCCTTCAGTCTTCTGCCGAGATTCGGCATGGGCCTGGGTAAGAAGCCAACCAACGGCAGCCTGTACGTCGGTCCCGGACTCTGTGGTATTCAAAGCCCGGCGCGATTTATCCGCGGGGAATCCCATGTCCACCAACTCCGCAATCGCCCGATCGACCTCGTTGGAAGGCATAGGAGATGCATCTTGGTCTCGTCCTCGATCTAAGGGTGTGGCAGATGCGGGAGGCGGTTCCTGTTGGGGGATATCTGATACCGGCTTCCCGAGCAGACCAAGGAAATCATCATCGTCGGCTTGTTGAGGCTGAGGAGGGGGAGCGGATTTCGGCTTCAATTGATTGAGGCCGAATGGGTCATCGTCATCAAAGGCGTCCATACCCCCCGTGTTATCCTGCATGCTAATTCCCCCGTTGGAAGGCTCTGGGCGACTCTTCATGTCGATTCGAGGCGACGATCTCGAGGAGAGGGGGACTGGGAAATGGGTCGACGCGTCCACTGGCGCTGCAGCATCGAAGGCGGCCAGGATATCCTCTTCGTCCGTGGGCGGGGGTGCAGATCGAGAAGCAGGTACAGATGCGGGGCTCCGCGTACGTCCCTCGAAGTTGTCCCAGAATTGGTTGTTCTGGCCTCCGTATTGCAATTCGAATCGACTGCGATTATCGGCTTCCTTCTTAGCCTTTTCCTCCTGCAAGCGCTTCTGCTGTTCCATGAGAGAGAGATTCTTGTTTCCGGCGGAAGAATTGAATGAAACCAGATTCGCGAAGCTATCTCCGGTAGAAGTGGCGGGCTTTGATGGCGAGCTTGAGCGGTTCGAGGAGGCAGATAACGGGGTAGACCTGCCAGAGCCGCCATTTGATGGGATACTTGGGTACAAGTACCCAGAGCTCATTGGCGGTGGTTTGCTTGGGTTTTTGGAGTCGGAGGACCAACTCAAGCCGTTTAGGTCCTCCATGGTGAGCTTGTCGCAAAGGATGGAGGTGACGTCTGGTGGGTTCGAATGAGGATTAGGTCCCAGAAGAGGGATGAAGGTTTTCCATGATCTCACCAGCTCACAATATGAAAGAAGCCCGAAGTAATTTCAATGACGGTTTGCTATATCAAGCAGATGCAGAACAGTTGCCCCTAACATGTGGGGGACCCAGACCGCATTGAGGCCGGCACGTGATACTGTAGTTTCATCTCGAGCATTCTGGAATAGCTTCATTTCCTTGAAATGCTGTCGTGTAATCAGTTCATTCATCTGACTATTCAATTTCTTGAGATTGAGTTTGAAAGCATCTTAGAAATCAATTGCCTCTTAACATGAACTAAGCTTGTCCAAGGTGTATACAATGACGTCGACATGAGAGATATCCCAGTCCACAGACCTTCAACTTGCATGTTCTATTTTGCCCTTTTACACTATGTTTTGATTTCTCAACAACTCAATCATCACTCAGATTCCCCTCAATCCCGAAAATAACCCGAAAAGTTCACAGATATCGCCATAGTTGCTTCAGCCTACTGACCCCACGAGCCCGGCAAATCGGATAACTAAATCGAAGAGACAACTTAACAATGGATGAAGAATACCTATGTATGTCACCCCTCACCCAAATCCCCCAGTGATGGATCTGTGCAGGCCATTATAGAGGCACGGAGAAGATCCAAATGTTTACACTGTGGAGACCATAAATCTCGGTTTTATCGGCAACGGGAACACGCCTCTGTCAGCAAAGCTATGCCTGCAAAAATGCAGGGAATAGGTTAATGGCCAGCAAGTCCATCGCTTGGGAAGTTCGAAAATATACCAGTAGCCACCAAGTATTCCGTAACAATTTTCCGTACGAACTACTCCGTAGTTAACTAGTTACTCGGTACAAAGTACATGTTGACAGTTTAAGTGGCAAAAAGCTTCTCCCTTCAGTAGCCGAGAGAGATCATCGGTTCCTGGTCCTGGCCCTAATCGAAAGCGACTTGACCTATAAGATCCAGGCATACATCGTATCAACCCCGGCCGAAGCTAAACTGCCGTTCAATCATAATGGAACCAAGGATGAGCGGATCTCCCGGCCGAGCTACATATATTAATTGTAGATGGGGCGAGGTCGTTTCCATTTCTACTTTTGGCCAAACGCACATCATGTCCTAATTGGGGACGTCATAGGCGGGAAATGCAATACTTGGCTCAGTCTAGAACTATTTTGTGTTTTCTGGAAGTATCAAAAAGGGGTAGCTGGAGATGCAAGACCTACATACCCCGTACATTGCAGCCCATAACTATCTACTCCGTAGTTCTCTCAAGCTAGTCCGTACTCTACTACGTATTAGTGTCTTCTTTGAAAGCGTCGAAAAGGGGCGGTTTCATCGCCCGCTAAATTCAGGACGTTAAATCGTTTAAAGTTTAGTAAAAAGCACTAAATTAAAAAAGCTTTATGCATTAGCGCGCAGGCTAATGAAGTTTGGCAGGTCCAAGACTACCAGATACAGTCCATCTATACGAGGACCAAGAGGAATCCGTTAGTGGCGCAACTATGGCGGCAGAACAGTCTCCATGCATGGCTCTTTTGAGAACCATGCGGAGTACTCCGTAGAGGATGTATGTATTAGTATCAGGAGTAGCAGTGCAGATCTACCTAGATACGTACAGACCATGTGCGTACAAGGCTGTATGCACATCATCCACGACTATACGAAGTATACACAGTTCCCTTCTATGTCGATTCTCCCAACTTACCTTCGTATCGATTATTGAAGTACCAAAGTTAACCGAAAGATGCATATAAAAAAGACATCACTATATAACAATAAGGAATGGCTGTCTAAAACTAAAACTGCCTTGGTTACATCGGCAACAACCAAGTGTAAAAAGCATCACGCGAGCTAAAAACCAACCAAGCCCGCTAGGTCCGCCCGACGAAGATGATCAACTCAAGCGAATCAGACAAAGCCTTGCCCCCTTCATATTTGCAAGTAACCAGCTGGTTTTCCGCCGATGGGACAGGGACCCCACAGCGCCCCCGCACATTTTCCCCCTCGCCAGGTATAGCCCCTTTGATAAAGTATGCGGTGTCATACTCTGCTGGAATTGGCTGTTACGCAATCTCCAGTGGGAGATGCTTCCACCTGGCTACCCAGGAACTCCAGACTTGCGGATTTGGCTCCCAAACCTTAGTGCTATGTAGATCTGGGTCTTTAAAGACCATGATTGCGCCTCATGGTCATTGAATACGAGTTTCAACTTCAACATGTCTTGCACTTCAGTCGTACTGAGGGTAGACATGGTAATAGATGGGAGTTTAGTGGGGTCCTCGTCACTGACCAGCCGACTAAGGTCTTCACGAGTAATTTTCTTCGTCAAAAAGTCAACAATGCTCTCTTCCACTTGCTTCTGGGCATTTTCTCAACGTTATGGACAGATTCAGAAAGAAAAAGCTGCAGTAAACAGAGCTGAACGCGAGGGGTCCAAATTCATTGTCAGCATTGTGGCTGCTCCTTTCCTAGATGAAGAAGGCCAGTGTTGATTCCAATGCACCGAAATTTAGTCCTCGAAACCAAAGGTTTTTTAACTCAAGTGGGGCTCCGACTACCTTCCGAATATTCGCTTCCAGTCTCAAGGCGCTTTTGTCAAACCGTACCTTGACGCATTTGACTTAGTCTGGTGCTTTGATTCGAGAAGCTGGGTAGAGTAGAGGCACCCACCCATGTAGGCCAGGCATTGCACCAGGCCATCTGCAGCAAAGTATCTTCTTTTCGCCTCAACAACAAAGACGTTCAAAGTAGTGTCTTCGTAATCGCCATACCAAACAGAATAGTCTGGTCTACCGACTAGTTTGTAACTCTTCTTGTTCCCTTGGAAACTGTGGGTTTCAACCGTCCCTTTGACGGCTGCTGGCACAGCACTAGGAACTGTTGTTGCGAGAGATGAGGATTTGGCCGGTGGATTGTTTCACGAGTCCTTGGCCCAGATGATGGGCGGTACAGTTCCTTCTTCCACTCATCGATCTAGTGGCCACAACAGGCTGGTGCCAAAAGAAATGACTTCTATATCATCCTGAATAACGTACGCAGGGTGGTCGATGGCTTTGATAAGTTCATCGAGCCCTGCTAGCCATGCGAGACTACGTAGGGGCCCGATCATTTGCGCAGTCTTCATTGTCATTGAGATTAGCTGTTGAGCTCCCTATACAAGAAAAAAAACCTACTACGCTGGCCATTTCCCTCAAGCTATTCGCGAATATCCACTGGGATCTCATCTCCAGGGTATCCTTACTGGAAAGTCCATACAGGACGGAACCCGTGCTTCCAGAGGTTATGGTAATTGCGTGGCCACCCCAAGCTAGAATAGCATCGCCTTCGTCGTAGTCAGAATCAATAGTCTCTCCGACTCTTGGTCGTGGCCTTCGTGTCTCGTATACTGGATATTTGCCATGCTGCTGAGCGATGGGATCTACAATGCGGAAGGTAGATTAAGTCTCTGCGTGTATGATTATAGAGGAGAGGAGGAACGAGGGCTCGAGGTTATTCAGAGATTTGGGTCACGATATCGAGATCAGGGAAGTAGCAACCTTGGAAACGTAACGGAGCACGTAACGTAATCCGAACATGGAACCGAACTTTGTGCTGTTCGAACATGGTACCTAGGTAGCTGCCAGGGTCCACGTGTTTTTCAACAGGTATGAGGGGTTCCTGAAGTTAGGTAGACATGCTGAGTGAGTGAATGGGTGGATGGATTGCGGGGATCCCGTCCCTTCCGCCTTCGGGGATTACAAGCCCTTTACGACTCTTGCGATGTTGAAGGAAGATTTAGCTTTATAATTTCAGCTCTTGCTTTGGTTTTGTTTTTCCCTCTCTATCAGAGGACCCAAAAAGACGTCAAAAAGACGTCAAAAAAATGCCTTGACAATACCCTAGAAAAGGTAGCTACATGCATGTAGGTGACAAGGCCAATCAGGCCACGACACGCCTTGTTATACTCAACCCCATCTACTCCGTACAGTATGGAGTATATACTTCGATGTATGATAATCTAGACCCTCCAAAGGTCACGAGGTCAGATTGTATATTATAAATTGTATCGTTATATTTCATTATTCTACTCATTTTCCAGGCAAAAAAACCCCGCATTGTCGCGATAGTCCCAAAAATGAGTTTGGTACTATTGATATACTACATATGTATATACTCTGTCGAGTATGTAGGGTATCAAGTGTCCGGGTGTGGTATTCTAAGTATCCATGCTACTATGTACGGAGTATTGACAATGCTATAGTATGTAGTATGCAACGTTCGGAGTACTCCGTACTCGCGTATTTCAGTCTAAGAAGTGTTTGCGGTAAAAAGGAATGTCGGAACTCCGCTTTTTTCACAACAGCGGAACCCCTCGGGAAGACGAGCCGCGCGGTAGCGAATGGAAATCAAATCGGTGGATCTCATTGTGTCTTGCCCCTGACTTTCAGGCTAGTCACTTCGCACAATACTTATTATTGTGTGTTGTACGGAGTATATAGATACGATGTATGGAGTACTCCGTACAACTTATGATACTTTCTCAGATGTCATTCTCAAGAGAGAAAAGAAACATAGAACGAAAAGAAAGAAAACAGAGTTAAGCTGAAACGACCCAGTAGAGTGGCCAGGCCCGTGCTTCCCGTTAGCTGGGTCCTTGGATGCATTTCGATATAAATGGGAGGGGTTGGACTTAACGGTCCGGAGATGAGGCCCCTAATAAGACTTGTTAAGAGTCGAAGGATTTCAACGTCATAGAAGTCAGTATGATCCTTCGCATGTCACCTCTGCACGGTCCACGTTCTACATGGACCATGCAGACTCCATTGTATCTATTCGAGACAAATAAGGATCGAGCCTGGAATTACTTGGTTACTTTACAACTGACATCTAGACACATTATTTCAGAAGGGGCAGATTGTAATGTGAAACCTTGGAGTCTGGGCTTGAGAGACGTTGTCTAGGTTCATATAATATGGCATGTGAGAAGCGACACCTTCCTCTTCTAGCTGCTAGGCGTACCTAGGTAGTGCCGGGTGTATCGAAAACCAAGTCTATTCTCCGGTTTTCGGTATACGTTGTACGTTGTACTTTTCCATACAATATTATTAATTTACACCATAATAGTTGAAGAAAACCCATAAAATCTGGAACATGCGCTTAACAGATATTCATAGCAATTAACGCGATGCGCGATAGCTGAACCATTCACACAACCTTCCAAGGTTCGAAGTACCCGAAGTGGGTTCGAGGTTCCGGATAGGGCAAGCCGTGCCCTCTTTGCTTTTTCTCTCGAACGGTACGCTAGCCCGTGCATTTCCGCATGTACCAACCATGGATTCTCTTTTTCGTCTAAACTTACTCCCCTAATAAGGCATGGTCTGATCGAATATCTGCATATGAGCTAGCGATCTATATGTACACGTACCACCTGGTGGCGCCTCGGAATCAAAAATTTACTTGATATTTGCATTCCTACATGTATTTCTCTATTCGCCCAGGACATGATTCGTTCGCCCCTTGCACAGTGAAATGATAGTCCCTTCTCTTGCTTTCCGACTGGTCCACTCCTCCGGGCCCATCCCTATACCTATTACGGCAATCGGTCCCAATCTACGGAGTACTCCCGGGAATGGGTACGGAGTACAAAGGCTTTGTATGCTGCTCACGGAGTACTAATTATTATTGTAGTACGGAGTACAATATACTACATATGTACTCCGTATGTACCCTGTATGATGTACACTAGTTTTAGGGGCAAATCAGCACATTGAGCTAAGTTGGCGTACCCGGTACCGACATTCTGCATACTAAAGTACGAGTTGTGGATTGTACCTGGTACCTTCCAAGCTTCCTCGATCCAGACTTCGGAGACAGACTTTGCCAGAGTCAATTCCCCCCTGGACTCCATAATATTCAAATTATTAATCGGGCATCTAGCCCGTAAATGACCCCTGGTGTAAAGAGCTCCAGCCATCAAGCCCCATAATTAAAAAAAATAACTATTATTATTTTACCTAGTTTTACTTGGTTTTACCCTTCGAGCTTTTATTATGTGTTAAAGAAAAAAAATAAAAACATCACATCCAGATGTCACCTTCTCCCCCCCCTCCTTTGTGAACTCCTTATCCGAACTACCTTGGTACATTCTCTTCGCCCCTCCTTCCAATTTCTCCACTGCCCCCTTTCAACCTTTGAGTAGGTCTGGGGTGAAACTCCAACACTCGAAACAATGGGCATATTCAAGCGCAAAGATTCAAAGAACTCCATTCAAAGCGAGAATGAGAACGATTCCTTCGTATCGGTCAACAGCGCTCGCACCTCAAATACATCCCTGAGATCGCCAGGATACAAGGGAAGTGGTCCACCAGCCTCAATCCCGGAACTCCCTATCGCCAGACCACCAGACCCAGCATTGGACCCGGCCGCATACCTACGAAGCATCCATGCAGTGCGCGAACGCTCCAACATAATCCTGAACAAGGCCAAAAAGAACCAACTGAACCATTTCGATGTCGACATGAGCAAATTCGAAGCTACTGCCTCCTATGTCGTCTCCATCATCAAGGTAAATTCAAGCGACTTCCACGATCATGTGAAGTTGCGCTAATACGCTTTCCCCAATAGCGAGATTATGCGCCAGATTATGAGAACATCCCGCCGCATGGTCGCTGGCAGCATTTCGACGTTGGAGGCAGACCGCGCATCAACCAGCTTCTCCAGTCCTGGCCCAGTCGCATTGATGCGCAGGAGCGCACACGCCGTTTGATTGATTTGTTTGTCGTGTCCGTTCTGCTCGATGCTGGTGCTGGGAATGAGTGGTCGTACCGATCGAAGGAGTCTGGGAAAGTCTTCTCGCGCAGTGAGGGCTTGGCGGTGGCGAGTTTGGAGATGTTCAAGTCTGGGCTTTTCAGTAGCGATCCTACGGAGCCATGTCAGGTGGATGGTGCGGGACTAAAAAAGGTTACGGTCGAGGTGCTTTCCAAGGGGATGCAACATTCTGATCAAAATCCACTGGCTGGTATTGAAGGCCGCACAGGGTTGTTGATTCGGCTCTCCGACGCACTTAACAATCAAGACTTCTTCGGTGTGGACGCTAGACCGGGGAATATGCTAGGTGAGGCGATCTGGATGTTTGTTTGTGTGTGTGCTTGATCACTAATCTTTACTCAGATTATCTTCTCAGCCATCCATCAACCCTTGCTTCTTCCGTACCTATTGTTCCGATTACCACTTTGTGGTCCGTGCTCATGGATGGCCTCTCTCCCATCTGGCCCCCCTCCCGAACGCAGATTGATGGAGTATCAATTGGAGATGCTTGGAAGTGCTCAGATCTCCCTAACTCGCCTCCTGCAAAGCAGTGGGAGAGCATTGTTCCATTCCATAAGCTGACACAATGGCTATGCTACTCGATCATGGTCCCAATGTCGAAATTGATGCTCATCCACTTCGCCGGCAGCGACCTCCTAACAGGCCTGCCTGAATATCGAAACGGAGGTCTTCTTATCGACCTGGGACTCTTGACTCTGAAACCGGACGAGATGCAGCGTGGAATTGACGCATATAAAGAGAATGCCCAGATCAAGGGTCAGCCAAGTGTCGAAGTGGCACCGCTCTTCAGCGCCGACGACGACGTAATTGTCGAATGGCGAGCCGCTACAGTTGGATTCCTGGATGAGCTCCTAGAGGAGGTCAATGCTCAGCTGGGGCTCAAGGGCTCCGAAGAGCCACTAACACTAGCACAAATGCTTGAGGCTGGCACCTGGAAGGTGAGCATTCATCGAGGATTTTCCCGATTAAGTAAATGCTAACAATGAAACTGCAGGGTGGTCGCGAGATTGCGGAAGTTTCGAGACCAAACACCAAGGAACCCCCTATCATGATACGATCTGACGGCACTGTCTTCTAATACCCTCTATTTCCGTTCTAATTGATGCTTGGATACCTGGATACCTTCGTCCCGTCATCTGGTTTTATTTGGGACGAGCTTTTTGATGAAATGAACTCTTCATGACCGAATACCTTCATACCTATATCTCACGTTTGGCATTTTTTTCCTGCCTTTTACTCTACTTCCTTCTTTTTTTCCCCTGCCATTTTGGGCTTTTTCCCTCTTTCCCCCATTTTTCCTCTACATTTGAGGCTATTCATCTGGGTTCCCATTGATTTTAGGCGGCTTATTTCATACTGCATCTCAACCTTTTTTTCTTCTTCTTCTCTGTCTATTCTATGTTTCCTTTTTTACCCTCATGTCCATAAAAGCCATTTGACCATAGAAGACCTATGATTTTCGGGAGACCCATGGGATGTCGTCATCCCGTAACCTCGGCCCCAAAGCTCAAATAAAACAAAACTCCACAAACAGTGCCAACAGTGCCAACAATGCCAATAAATGCTAATAAATGCACAATAGTGCGTAAGTTCACATTCTCTGAGTAAC